CCCAGAGGGCGCCCCGGCCCCCGTACTGTGACTCCCCACACTCAGCAACGGCCTGTGGGGTGGGGGCCCTGGGGCGTTTTTAAACCTCGGGTTTGGCGTCTGGACTAAGCTCCATCCACGTCACTCACAAGTTTCTGTTTATATTTCTAGCTTTTTTTAATAAAAATTAAAAAAAAAACACAGAAAACACAAGTTTTCACAGCCCAGGGGCCCGGCACGCCGGTCTGTGCCCGCCCACCCCGCCCCAGCCGCCGGCGCCACCCCTGGGCAGAGTCGCACCCAGCGCCCGCCACCGACGCCCCGGCTCGCTCCTCGGCAGTCGCTGTAACAGGCTGCCGCGCACACACACTCGGCCTCACACTCACCTGTGGGTTTTTGGTTCCGTTCAATTTGGGTTTTTAACTTTACAGGGTCAGTACTGCTTCACCCCTCCTTTTGTATGGAGTTCCACCCAGGGGTTCCCCTGCTCCGGTCCTGAGGCCTCCTGACCCTGACGTTGTGATACACCCCACAGAGATCTATGTTTCTTATATTATTATTATTGATAATAATTATTATAATATTATGTAATAAATTTATAAGAAATGACACCGTCCCTCCGCTGCCTGCTTGAGGAGGTACTGGGAGGGCACACGGTGCCTTCCCTGGGGGGCCCGGAGCACCACCCACCGGCCTCGACTGGAGTGTGCAGCCGTGTGCACGGGCCACTGGGGCACCTGCGCCCCAGTCTTCGCCCACCTCCATGCCCACCTGGCTGGTTTCTTGCGTCTTCCTGAGTCTGACTGGACCCCAGCCTATGCTTCCCAAACTGGGTGCTTCCCTTCCTGCTCAGTGAGTGGTCACTGCGGCCCTCTCTCCTTCCCACCCAGTGTCCAGTTTCTGACCCTGCGTTAGGCTCCCGTCGCCCTGTGCCCATGGCTGCCGCCCGTGTTCCAGCCTCGTGTCTCCCTGCGCAGCCAGCTGCCCTTGGCAGGTCCAGGGTGGTGCCGGGTGTTGGGCGGCTGGCAGCAGGAGGAGGCGCAGAGGTGAGAGGGAGGGAGCATCCGGTGGAGTGACAGGTGGCCACCGCAGGGTCAGGGCAGAGGGAGGCCAGGGCCTGAAGGGACGTGCGGTCACCTGGCAGGGTTACAGGAGGGGCCGTGGGTGTGGAGCCTGGCCACGTGGGGTGGTGCCCTGTGAATGCCACATCCTCGGGTCCTGGCCCAGTGGGCGGGGCCTGTGGGCGGGGCCTCCAGGACCCAGGGGGCGTAAGAGCCGGTGGCTGTGAGAGAGGACCCTGGGTTCCTGGAGTTTTTCCAGCGGCTGCACGGGCAGAGGTGCTTTGGGGAGCCAGGCGGAGGGTGAAAAGGAAGACCAGGTGGGGACTGTGCCCACAGGGCAGTGGGACTTCGACAGGCCACCATCGGTCACGTTTTTTGTTTCCTTTTCAAGTTAGAAGCTGTGGTCATCATACGGAAGGGACCAGGAAGGAAGCCAGGAGTGGGTCCTTGGGAGGGTCTGGGTGTGGGGTGGGGGGACGCTGACTCATGCTGGGGCTGAGTGCGGTGGCCCTGACGGGCCTGGTCCCTCTGGAACGGGCCTCAGCGGTGCAGGAACGGGAGAGCTGGCGCAAGCAGCCAGCCCCACAGTGATGGCGGGGCCCTCGGGCTCCCTGGGGACCTCGGGGAGAAGACGAGTGTCCTCAGAGGTCTGAAGCCACCTCCATGCCTCAGAAGACAGTAGGACCCTTGAGGTGTGCACCCAGGGGTCACGTATGAGAGGAGCTGAAGCCCCAGTGCCTTCAAACCGAATCTTCCTCACTCCAGGTGGGGACTCCCTGCCCCTTCTGGTCTCCCCCTGACCTCAGAATGTTCCAGTTCTACCTTCTCAGGGGCCCTCAGCAACTCCCCAACACTCTCTCTGGAACCTGGAAGCTCCTCCCTCAGTTCCAGCCACCCCCTTGGCCCTGTGGCCCACTCCGGTGGGCCTGGATGCAAGGCCGAGTGGACAGAGAAGGTGTCTGCTCAGCAGAGGCCGAGCTGGAGAACGGGGTGGGGGAGCGGGACTGGGAGAGGGGAGTTGGGAGCAGAAGGGACCAGAAGGGGCTAGAGGGCAGGGTGAGGGGGGTCAGTGGGAGTGGGGGTTCAGGGTGAGCAGGGGCAGGGGAAGGGCCGGGGCTGTGTCTGGTGGGAAGGGTGTGGGAACACAGACGGGGGGGAGGGGCCAGGGCTGGGAGCGCCACGCGGGCCCGAGCGAGCCCCCAGCAGCCACGGGGGCCCCATGCTGTGTCCCAGAGTCCGTGCTGTCCTGCTCACTTGCATGGGGACAGCATGGAGAAGGCGCTCTTCACTGAGAGGGTTGCTGTTTCCATTTGGGCCGATGACAGACCAGACTCAACCTGGGTGGGCCGCACGTCCGTCTCTCCACGCTTTCCTGGGGTCCAGGGGTCGGTGGGACGCCTGGGGCCCCTCATACAGCCGGAAGTGGGTGCTGCTCTGCACAGTCCAACGGTTGTTTTCTGGGGTGCAGGCGCCGGGCCATCTGCCCCACTGCTGGTGGCCCTCAGCGCCTGGTCTCAAACTCGATACCCACCGTTCTGGTCCACTGTCAGAGTAACGCGCAAAGTTGTGATTTGCAGAAAATCGTACATGTTTACCTTTGAAGTAAATGGTCACCTCATGCTGGTAAAAGATTCTCCTTGCCATATCCATCCTACACCCACCAAAGTCCTAGGAAAACACCTGCACTGCCGCCCTTTCTGTCTACAGCCACGCTTTCCTGCCACGTCACGACCTCCGGTGGCCTTTCCTTAACTCTATTCCCAAGGCCTTAGTCGGTTCACTTATCTGTTACAATCTGACACATTTAAAACAGGTGAGGCCTGCTAACACTCACAGGTGAGCTACAAGCTATTCACACTCAGGATGGTGAGCACAGGGTGTCCTGACCTTCCAAAAGAGGAGGGGAGATCGCCCGACATAGAGGGGGAGGAAGGGAGGGAGGGTGAGACAAGACCACCTCAGGCCTTGTGTGGGGGGCAGAGGCCCCCTGAAACTCCCCCGGAAGAGACACACCCAGGTGACCTGCAGGTCTGGGAAGTGGGAAACCCTACCTGCGGTTAAAGGGCCTTAGGCCCTGAGCTGAGGGAGGGAGTCGGACCCTCTTCACGGTCAGGTGCAAGAGAGGGACCTCCTGACATGCGGGTAGCAGAGATAAAAAGGAAATCTCGGGACACAAATGGTTGAGACCTGACTGTGTTCACCCAGGGAACAAAAGTCAGGTGGGAAGGAAAGGAGAGGGTGCAGGTCCAGACCCGAGTGGTGTCGGTGGCTTATCCTGCCGCACAGGCTGTGGGGTGAGGCCCCGTCACCCTCTGGGAAATGGAGATGAGATGTCCTGGCCCCGCGTGGGAGAGACTATTCCTTCTGGCCCGCAGGGCGATGCTCCCGGAGAGGAAACAGCGTGGCAGCCCCTCACAGTGAGGTGTGCGAGGTGGGGCCTCTGGACGACCCTTGGAGCGGCGAGATGTCCGAACCCTCAGCCAGGAGAGTGGGGGTGGCGGGCACTGCGGTGGGGAAGCCGGACCTTGGGCTGCTCCAAGAAGGGAGATGCGACCCCTGATCCCTCGGAAGAAGGGGTGACCGTCAGGGATGAGTCCCCCTGACACCAGGTAGAGGACACCCTGGGTTGGGACCCTCCGGAAGGGTGCAGTAGACCCCCCTCCACTCCAGCGGGGGCAACGAGCTTTCTCGACCCTCAGGGAGGGAAACAAGACCACCCAACAGCCAGGAAGGGGAGCGAAAAGGTTCAGTCGGGGAGGTGACATGAGAGCCTCAGATGTAGGTCCGGGAGGCTGTGCGGGGCTCAGGGACAGCAGGTGGCAGCTCAAACACGCGGGAGGAAGCCTTGCCCCCTGGGGAAGGGGGACTTCCCGGCAGCAGTGGGCAGGCAGGGGTGACCTCTGTCAGGCCAGTATCGCAGGTGAGCTCTCAGAGCCCCCACGAAGGTGAGACGGGACCCACGAGCGACCTCTCGGTTCTCAGGGAGAGGTGTGCCCCTCGGGGTGGGCCTTTGGCCCTGAGAGGGAAGGGAAGAGGCTCACATTCAGGGACAGGAGACGGTCGCAGGCTGGCACTCAGGGAAGACACACGAGACCCACGGGGCGTTCAGAGGAAGGAGTGTGACCCCGAGTGACCTGCGAGGAGAACGTGCGACGTCCAGTTAGAGAAGGGGCTCCGACAGAGGCCGAGGGCCGTCTCACAGCCTGAATGGAAGCCTTCTGTGCAGGACAGGAGCTCCCGACCCCGGGACGGGCGAGGGGCCCGTGACGCTCCGACCTGCGGCCGGACTTGACTCCTGTGGGGCAGGCGACGCCGTCTGACGCCCCGGAATCGGAGGGGGACGCTTGTTGTTCTCGGTGTCTCCTGACAGTCAGCAGGAAGGACACGTCGTGATGTTCAGGGACAGGCGATGGAGACTCCTGACCACTGCAGGTGCAGAGAGGAGCCCCGAGCGCACACCGGCAGAAAGCAGGAGCCCTGTGACACCTGGGGGGACTCTGGAAGGTGACTTCGCAGCCCTCAGCTGGGGAGAGTCCATACGGCTCTGCAGTGGGCTGGCCACACACTCCGGGGACAGGGGACGGAACCGCGGCTTGCAGTGCTCAGGCCACTGTGCTGAGCCGACTCTCTCCACCTGCTGTCGTGGAGGAGCCGAACTGCCAGGTTTGACTTGGGGCAGAGCCTTTGGTGACAGTTTGAGGGGTGGGCAGACCCTGAACTTCCACAGAGCTACACCCTCAGGTGAGGTGGGACCAGACTGGAGACAGGGACGCAGAGGCTGGCTGGGTCTGGGGACCGAAGGTGGGACTGCCCAAGAGATCAGCCCAGGGGAGCAGGGTGACCTAGCAGAGCCGGCTCCCACAGGCCTGACTGCGGGGGTGGGGGCACGTGGCCCTGCTGATTGGCCAGGACACCCCGGAGCTTTGTGAGGTCAGCGGGCTTCCGGCCCGGGGCAGGACGATGGCGGAGATGCTGCCAACTGCCGCTCTGCTGGTCTTGGCAGCGTCTGCGGTCGCCAGAGATAACAGCACGTGTGAGTAAGTGTCCGAGGCCTCGGCGGAGGCAGGGAGCCCTTCTAAGCGCAGACCCGCTGCCTCCGTCCAGAGCCGGAGGGAAAGACAGGGCGGGGCCTTAGAAGTCCCGTGGGTCTCACAGCTCCTGGGACCCACACCCCCAAGTCAGACCCTCTTGGTCCCAGCAGCCTCAGCCCAAGGACGCCTGGGGCCCCGCCGTCCACCTGTCCTGAGGCAGACCCTCAGCTCCGGAGATGCGGGCGGTGGGCAGATCTGTGTGCCCTGCCCTCACCCCCAACTCTGGACGCTCAGGAGGCGCTGTCTTCCCACAGACAGGACGCGCCCACCGTGGTGACCCTATGGGGCCCTGGGCATCGTCCTGCAGCAGGTCCAGGGCCTTCGGACCCCTTAGGCCCCCACAGACTCCAGGGTACCCCACAATGCCTCTCACCTGTGACACAGCTCCCAGAACCTCCTCAACTGCCCCCTCAGCGCCCCCACAGACTCCCGGGTCCAGGGGCCCCTGCACCGGCCCGAGATCCTTCTATCTGCGTCACCGTGGGGGCCAGCCCTGCGCCCAAGACTGAAAACGCACGCTGGGCGACCCTGCTCTTCACGTTGCCTCTCCCCGCCCAGGGGTCCCGCACTTCTCAGGCCCACACCCTTCTCCCAGCTGCCTGTGGCCCCTCTTCCCCGCGTGTGATGACACCCACAGGGCCCTGGACGTCGTACCTCCCCCACGTCCTGGAGGCTGTGGCTTCCTCGCCGCCCCACAGCATGGCTCAGGCTCCAGGCTGCCCTCGAGTTCCCAGATCTCCGCCACGTCACCAACCCCGCCACCCTACCCTCCGCAGAGGCGCAAGGACAGGCTGTGCCTGCTCCCGGTCTGACCCGTGACCGCGGTCTCTCCTCAGTGGCCCCTGTGGGCTAAAGTACCGGCAAGGGACCACACGCATCGTCGGAGGCCAGGCTGCCTCGCGCGGGGCCTGGCCCTGGATGGTCAGCCTGCAGGCCTTCACCTACCAGGACAGCCGGCGCTACCACGCCTGCGGGGGCTCCCTGCTGAACGCCCAGTGGGTGCTCACCGCCGCTCACTGCTTCAGGCTCAAAAAGTACGTGTGGGGGCGTGCGGAGGGGGTCTTCCGAAGGCCTCCGGGCAGAGCCATTCCCCCGGGGTCTCTGCCGAGTGTCCCTGGGGCTCTGGGCCTGGCGGTGGTGACACTGAGTGTGCAGACCCTGCCCGGGGGAGGCTCTGAGGGTCCCGTCCACAGCGGGTGCACAGGGAGGACGGCCTGGCTCCCCCTGTGCCCACAGAAAGGCCCATGATTGGAGACTGGTTTTCGGAGCAAGGGAAATTGAGTTCGGCAGCAACCAGCCAGTGAAGCCGCCTCTGCAGGAGAGGTTTGTTGAGAAAATCATCCTTCACGAGAGCTACTCGCCCATCCTGGAGGCCAACGACATCGCTCTCGTGAAGATCACCCCTCCCGTGGTCTGCGGCACCCTGGTGGGGCCAGGCTGCCTGCCCCAGTTCACGGCAGGCCCACCCCGAGTGTCCCAGTCCTGCTGGGTGATCGGCTGGGGATTCCTCAGGGAGAACGGTGAGCACAGGAGCCACTCCCAGGGGCCATCGAGGGTCGTGCCCGGGGTGGACATCGAGGTGGAATGGGAGGAGTGGCGGAGCAGCTGTTCTCACACGGTGCCCGGGGAAGCTCCCATCACAGCCTGTCTCCAGCTGGAGAAGCCGCAGGTGGGAGCCGAGGGCCGGGCCACAGCCGCACCTGGTGAGGGCGGTGGGGCAGGCACTGGGTGACCCGGCGTTCGGAGAGTGGGGTCGAGGCCGTCTGTCCCGGGGCCTGGAGCCCAGGTGCTGCACCGGAATTGGGAGAAAAGCTCAGGCAGCGTTTCGTAGCCGGAGGCCAGTGCTTTCCCCACCAGTGAGAGGCAGGGCCAGAGCCCGGCGCTGCTGTCCCCACCCCTGGCCGTCCCGGCCCCCACATGCACCCCCCTCATCGCTGCCGCTCGGGGTGTGTCTGGACCGGCAGGGGCGTCACAGGGGCAGCAGGGTCTGGCAGCGGGGCAGGACTGCACCGCGGTGGCCTCTGAGTTGTCTGTCACCCGGTCACGTCAGGGAAGTGAGGGTGTGAGCGACACTGACTTAGTTCTCAGCATCTCTTGTTGCTTCAACAGCAGAAAATTTAGGCTTTCGAATCAAAGGCAGTTCAGCCACGTGGGGTTTTACACGCCACCTGTCTTGGTAACTCCCCAAACCAGCCCTTTCAGGGTTCCTCCCTGACTTGTCCTCCCCTCCCTGATGCTTGTGCCCAGTTTCTGGCAGGGCTGCCACTTGGTCCCCCAGGAGGGCGGCTCTGCAGGCGCCGGGCTCTCTCTGACTGTGGCTGCCCCACAACCTGCCTCCCGGCCGAGCACCCGTCCATGGCTGGCTGCTGCTGTCTGAGGCTCTGCCATGGGCACAGTCGTGCCTGTGTTCTGGGACCCCCCACCCCACTGGGCTTGCCCTGCTCTGCCCTCCCTCACTCCCCACCCGGCCACATCCAGCATCGGGGTTCTGGGAGTCTGATGACAGGGCTCCCGTCTGTCGACCCCCCCGCAGCCCGCCTCACCCGCACCTCACTGTCGCTACTGTGGGCTCGAGAGGAGTGCAGGCTCCCAGCTACACCCCGAGCCTCCCGTGAGACCTCTTTTGTTCCAGAACCCCTTTCAGCTTAAAGGGGCTTCTGTCATTTTTGACACTCACATTTCCCTCACCCACACCCCCACCTCGAAGGCCAAGTCTTAAAGGGATCTCAGGCTCTGAGTCCTGGGGCCGTCCCGGCCTTCCCTCCCACCCGCTGCCTGGTGCCTGCCCTCCCCGTTTGTTGCGAGGCTGAGCTCACAAGTTTGTCGCTTAAAACAGGCCTTGGGGTTGAGAACGCCCGTCCCTGTTTGAGGGCACCTGGCTCTTAACAGCAAGGCCCAGGCTTCATCAGCTTGGTGACTCACAGGCCCCACTGGTGGTCGGCACCTCCTTGTCACCCCACCTGCAGGGCAGGGCACACACATACTGTCACTGCCGCCCCTCACAGGGTGGGAGGGGACTGAAGTCACCGGAAGCCAGCCATGCCTCCTGCTGTGTGCCTGGCCCTGCCTCCGGATCATCCCCAGCTCATTCCAGCCCCGCCCCCACCAGGCCCGACCGGCCCTCTGCACGGCAGGCGGTGCCCAAAGCCACCTCCAAGGCTGTGGGGCCAGAACAGCGGCTGCTGTCAGGGCCCCTCCAACTGTGGGACCACGTGACCCAGAGGACACAGCTGCATCGGCTGTGGGGCCGTCTCCGCCAGACGCAGTGCACCCTGCTCAGGGTCGCCCTGGCCAGGCCCCCCTTTGTCCCCAGGCCCAGAGAGAGAGTGTCTGGGGTGGAAGGAAGCCCTGACCTGGCCTGAGAGCTGTGCCTCCGTGTTCAGACCTGCTCAGGACAGATGAAGGACTCGCCCGCCCAACCCAGGGCCTGTCCAGAGAGGCGGAGGAGTCCTGGCGGGGAGAGCGGGGAGGGCGCCTTCCAGCCAGACCCTGGGCTTGGTCCTGGAAAGGAACTCCGGGGTCTGAACCACGCCACACCACAGCCTCCTTGACCTTGGTGAGGGGAGCCCCAGCCCCCTGGCAGGGGGCAAGGAGGTCGCAGGGTGGCTTCCAGGACTAAGGTGACATCTGTGTGGCTCATCGTGCCCGTCCGCTTACACCTGCTGATCTTACCAGCAGCCTCCATGAGCCACCAGCCACCACTCACACACAGCCCTCCCCCACCGCCCCTCGGTCCCTCGTCCGGGCTCTTCCTCTGTCCGTCCTCCCTGTCCCTCGTCTGCGTGGGCAAGGACAGGCCAGGGCCTCGGGCTCTCCTGGCTCTTAGGTTTGAACAGAGCATTATGGACAATGAGGGTTCAGGGGAGGGAGGAGGCAGGGCTTTCCCAGACACGGGGCGCGTCTCCCGTGACCACTGACCGCCGAGTCGCCTGTTGTAGCCCAACAGATGTCGCCCGTGCTGCAGGAGGCCATCGTGAACATCCTCGACCTCAGCCTGTGCAACTCGACCCTGTGGTACCAAGGCCGCGTGCACTCCACCAACGTGTGTGCAGGGTTCCCCGAGGGCTATGTGGACACCTGCCAGGTAACAGTCCCCAGGTGCTGGGCCCCTGCGGACCCCACTCCCTTGGGTCCCTTGGCTCCACACGCTCCAGCGCCCTGCCCTGGTGACCCTTTTCCCGGTCCCATGTCTACAGTCACAATGAACATGGGGGTCATGGAGTCACAATGACCCCCACCAGCTGCCCCTACCAAGGGCCAGTCACCACGTGCAGCGCCCCCTCACCCAACACAGAGACCACATCACCCAGGCTCCGCCCCGAGCCTTCACCTCCACGTGTACACACGTGCTCGTGTGGCCTGTGAAGCCACACGCCGGGATGCGTGGGCACCTCGTCCCTCCTCACCGCAAGGGAACCCGGGCCTGTCGCACTGTCCCATCCCCGCTGGCCCTTCACCACAACCCCCTTGGTCCCCGGAGCAGGGACAGTGGCTCAGCACGGTGTGCGTCCTCCTGGCAGGGGGACAGTGGCGGGCCTCTCATGTGCAAAAGAAGCACTAAAGACCCCTACGTGATCGTCGGAATCACGAGCTGGGGGGTGGGCTGTGCCCGAGCGAAGCGCCCTGGAATCTACACGGCCACCTGGCCCTATCTGAACTGGATTGCTTCCACGATCGGGTCCAAGGCCTTGGAGACGCTTCAGCCGAGTGCCCCTCCCCCTCCCAGTGCGGCCACAGCCGCCGGCACAGTCTCCTACACCCGCCCCTCTGCCCGCCCTCCTTGGTACTTCCTGTACCCTTCTTCCTACCGACCACCTGCATCCCAACCCCGGCCCTCAGCACAAGTCCCATCCCCACCCCCGCCTTCACCCCCACCCCCACGCCCTCCACCTCCACCCCCACCTCCTCCACCTCCCCCACCTCCTCCACCCCCATCTCCCACTAAACCTCCCGAAGCCCCTTCTTTCGCCAAACGACTGCAGCAGCTCATAGAGACCCTGAAGGGGAAGACCCTTTCTAGCGGAAGAAGCAGTGATAACGCGGAGGTCGTAGGCTTCCCGGAGCTGGCCTCGCTGTCAACCGGCCCAGGGAACCCATCACACCTGAGAGGGAAAGAAAAAGATGAGATGAATAAATAAGTATTTCTGTAATGAGGTGTTTTCCGGACTTCTTATCTGCCCCCACAACTCGACCCAAACCCACATCGGCTCTGCCTCCCTCCCTCCCCCACCTACAGGCGGCCCGCTGCCCAAGGCACAGCCTACAGGATGTCAGTCCTGTGTTTAAACGCTGATTTCTGAAACGAACAAGTTGACCTGGGCATGTGGGCCAAGTCTGGCCTTCACTTCCCACGGAGGCTCTGCCCCTGAAATTGGTGGGGTGGCTCCGAGGCAGCTCCTGAGGGGGCGCCCGGCTGGGCGGGAGGGGTGTGGGGCCCGTCCATGGGGACACGCCGTCCTGTGGTGTGGAGAGAGGACGCACAAGAGGACTGTGTGTGGAGGGCAGGGTCCCGGGGTGGCCAAGCAGTGCACCTCGACCGCAGGGCACAAGGTCACGCGTGGCTCTAGGGGCGGGTTGAACACCGTCTGTCCGAGCCCTTTTCTGGCCTGTGGTTTAACCCTGTTACTTCCTGGATTCAAGCCAACTAGAAAAACTATTTGCCAAGGCTTTCCAGGAATTACAGTGGCGTGCTTCTGGGTGCCCGCGAGCTTCTAATGGTTCCCTTACCCTCTGGGAGCCCTTATTTTAAGATCTTCCATGGCGAGGAGCAGAACCCAGTGTGAGCTGGTTCAGTGAGAAGGGCAAACTGTGTGCCCTGAGGTGTCACATGGGCGCGGGAGGAAGGGCCAGCAGCAGACGCCAAACGGCACCGGGCCTGCCGTGTTTGCCAAGTGGCTGGCCCACCCGCACGCAGGCCATTTGCAGGTTCCGGGGAAACAGACCCCGATGGTCCCAGGCCCGAGCCCCACCCTGGCCAGGGCAGAAACAGGACGTTCCTGTGGAGTAACCCCTCGTGGAAGAAAGAAAACTCCCGGACCCTGGCTGAGCAGCTACTGCAGGCGGCAGCCACGCTCCCTGCCCAGGAAGCTGACGGCTGGTGCCGAGTGGGAGGCGGCCCCAGCAGGACAGTGCGGTGAAGGAGCAGGAGCCCCGGGCGGGCAAGGGAGGCCGAGGGGCCAGCGCCTCTCTGCCTCGGGCTGGGACATAGTGTGAGGAGGACTCACCGTCTGCCCAGGCTCTCGCCCTCAGGAGCCCCGTGCAGAGCGTCCAGAGCAGAGCTGACATCTGCAAATGCTCAGACATGAGGCTGCGGGGGAGATGCTGCCGGACAGCCTTAGGCTTACAGGCAAGGGACACTGTGGTGTGATTTTGGTAACCCACTGTGACCACTGAGGTGCTTGGGCCACACAGGAGGGCTCGCACATTTGTCCGAAAGGCCTGTAGCTCTGTGTACGGTAGTGACATTTGCTTAAAGGGAAAAAAAAATTGTATCTGCCTTGGCTAGGAGCTGGCACTGCTGAGACTGGAGCCAGCCTGATTTTTCATTTCCTTGCCTTTGGGCTGTCTCCTCTAAAGCTGGTTTCTTAATGTCTCCACCAGGGACACAATCCTCATACCCTGGGGCTTGACACTAGTCACCCTCTCAATACTGAGTGAAACCCAGTGCGCTGGTCACAGGGCAGACAGAAGCCACATGGTCCAAAGAGCAGAAACAGTGATGGCAGCAGCTCAGAACCTGCCTGGCCCTCGCTGGCCATTCGTGAGCCAGAGCTGGGGCCTGCCTGTGGGGGCCCTTCTTCAGCCCTCCCGCCCACACACTCCCTAGCCCTAGGCAACCCCAGATTTGCTTTCCCTCACTGAGGATTGGTTTGCATTTCTAACAAGGAAAGGGGAGTCGTACAGCCAGTGGCCTTGTCCTGTCCGGCCCCATTCAGTCCGCACAGGCGCCCGAGACCCTGGTGTGGCAGTGTCAGTGTTGGTTCCTTTGTGTCGCTGGCTGTCACACGCTGTGCCTGGGCCACACTTGTGTTTCTGTTCGGCTGTTGCTGGATATTTGCTTGTTTCCGTTTGGTAGAGCAGCTGTGTGCATTCCTTTTATTTTTTCAAAGATTTTTAAAATTTATTTTTAGAAAGAGGGGAAGGGAGGGAGAAAGAGAGGGAGAGAAACATCCACGTGTGGTTGCCTCTTGCGCGCCCCACACTGGGGACCTGGCCTGCAACCCAGGCACGTGTCCTGGTTGGAAATTGGACGGACAACCTTCAGTTCACAGGCCGGCACTCAGTCCACTGTGCCACGTCAGCCAGGGCTCATTCTTTTATTTTTGTTTTTAAATCCTTAGCTGTTTTAGGATTTATAGACTGTTTAGGAGAAAATGTTTACAGATTTGGGAAAGAGAAGAAGTGGGGTGGGTGGGGGAGAGAGAGAGAGAGGGAGGGAGAGGAACATGGATCAGCTGCCTCTCGTGCACTCGAACCCACAACCTCTTGCCGTACATGACAACGCTCCAACCAGTGGAGCCGGCTGGCCAGGGAGCTGTGAGCATGTTGCACAAGTCTTTGCAGCACAAAGGCTTTCGTAAGTCTTGGCTAAGTACCTGCATGCGGAATGGCTGGATCATATGGTAGGTATGTGTTTAGCATGAAAAAAACTGCCCTTTCCCCCCCCCCCCCCCCCCCAAAGAGGCTGCAGTGGGCTCCGTCCCCAGCAGCTTGCAGGCCAGTCCCAGTCCCACAAGCCCCTCACCAGCTCTCGGTGTGGTCGGCGCCTTGCGTTTGAGCTGTGCTGACAGGTGAGGGGTTACGTCTTCTTTCTGGGATTTCACCGTGAACCGAGTGGTTCATGAACAGGGTTAAAGCATTCTGAATGACTGCAGTGAAGATTCCTACCAGTGAGGTAAGAGGACAATCACTTTTGATGCTAACGAAAAGGGGAGGGCACATAGGGAAACAGGGAGGTAGAGAAAAAAACACCTAAAATTAAATGTACCCAAGTGGAACTTGGATTTTTTCAAGCATTACTAGCGTTGATGGAAAACATCTGAAAGCAACACCAACAGCAGCAGTCCAAGGGCAACTTCACCGTCAGACTCCACCTGATGTCTTTGTTGATTCAATTCCAGGAGCAACCTGCTTAAGAAATGGCAGGTCTGTTTCCTATATAAAGCTATCCAGCCCTGGCTGGTGTGGCTCAGTGGACTGAGTGCCGGCCTGTGAACCAAAGGGTCATGGGTTTGATTCCTAGTCAGGGTGCAGGCCTGGGTTGCGGGCCAGGTCCCCAGTGGGGGTGCCTGAGAGGCACCCACCACACACTGATGTTTCTCCCCCTCTCTTACTCCTTCCCTTCTCTAAAATAAATAAATAAATAAATTTTAAAAAAGATATGCCAAAGTACCCAGTCTCTCAGAACCTCTTTGAGGTTATTGCATCCAAATAACAATGTATTTAAAACAAAATCCTCAAGATTTGTTGGTGGCGAGATTGGAGGGAGCAGATTCCACCTTCCCCTACTCGCGGGAGAAAAACCTGGCCGACCCCTGTGGAGAAACAAAGCAGACAGCCAAGGGTACCCCAGCATGTATGAAGGTAGAAGACCAGAAACTGTAGAGGACATTGGAAAACCAGAGGGTAAGGAGAGCGCTTCAGGACAGTAAGGTCCCTGGGACCAGCTCGGGGGCCAGAGGGGCTGCAGGGCCGGTTGGCCACAGGGTCTTGGGAGAGAGCCAGGTCAACAGCTCCCTCCCCGGCCAAACAAGGTTTGGGCAGCGCGGGGAGGGACCTGGTTGCTTGAAGCTGCAGAGAAGGGAGTGAGGACTAAGCGGCAAACACACGGGGGCTGTGACCACCCACAGAGCCTGTGGACACCGGCTGGGGAGAGTGGAGAGCTGAGGCGAGCTTCTACGAGCCTTGCACTGCAGCCAACAGGCAGAAACAGCCTGAACCCCCACCCGCAGCGGGGGTGGGGTGGGGGGGGTTACACAGACTGATGTGTTTAAATGCACCGGGTCGTTCTTCAGTGGTGCAAAGGGGTGAGGTACGTGATAGACGAACACATCTCGAAAACATGAGGCTAAGTGAAGAAAGACAGACACAAAATGTGAGCTGTGGTGTTACTCCACTGATACACAATGTCCAGAGTCCGAATGCAGACTTGTACCTGCCAGGGGCTGAAGGGAGAAACCGCTTAATGAGCAAGGGGTTTTCCTTTCAAGTCACGGAAATGTGTTTTATTTATTTCTTATAATTTATAGAGAGGGGAGGGGAGGGAAAGGTACACTGATATGTGATCGATACCATCAGTTGCCTTTCGAGCAGCTCCTACCGGGGACGTGGCCTGCAACCTGGGCACGTGCCCTGACTGGGAAGCAAATTCACAACATTGCAGTTTGCAGGCTGGTGCTCCATCCACTGAGCCACACCAGCCAGGGCTAGAAATGGTTTAGAACTAGGGGGAATAGTTGCTCAACATTGGAACTATATATATGGCATTGTATTGGTTACTTTAAAAGTTAATTTTGTTACATAAATCCCACTTCAAGAGTCAGGGGTGACGTTCCTTGTGTGGGTCAAGCAAGGGCGGGATGAACTCTAAGAAGCAGGTAAATCTGAGCAGCATCAGGGTGGTGGCCGTGGCCGCCACCCTGCCCAGCACTTGCCTACAGTTGCTCTGTGCTGAGGGACGGCTCATTGCCGCCCTGGTCCTGGCCACCCTGCTGAGATTTGCCTGGGGAGGGTGTGTGGACCAGAACTGCCTTCTCAGGCCCTGCCTCAAGGGGTCCTGAAGCGAGATGGTTCTGTGAAACCAACACTGAGGGTGAACGACGGGGTGTTGTTAGACCTCGGTAAGGCCGATACATTAAAAAGTACCACCCTGGCTGGTGTACCATCCTGGCTGGTGTACCATCCTGGCTGGTGTACCATCCTGGCTGGCTTGAGCGTGGGCCTGGAAACCAAACAACTGTGGTTTGATTCCCAGTCAGGGCACATACCTGGGTTACAGGCCAGTTCCCAGCAGGGGATGTGTGAGAGGCAACCATACATTGATGCTTCTCTACCTCTCTCCTTCCCTTCCCCTCTAAAAATAAATAAAACCTTTTTTTAAAAAAAAGTACCTGTTATTTCAGTAACCCTGAGTGGGACTTTTTAGGTTTTGGGTTTTTTTTTTTTCTGTGTGTGTGTGTGGCTTTTAAAAGCCCACCTCAATAGGGTAACACATTCTTGAAAATCCCTGGTCAGGTTTAATTTCTAAAATTGAAATTGTAAGCCAATCGTGAGTTGACCTGGGCGGCCCGGACGCCCCCTCCCTCCCTCCCTCCCTCATGTGGTTGAGGTTCTTGTGTGCGTTTGCCCAGTGACATCTAGACGCATAAGACACACACGTGTGCTCAATGTTTACGTAATTCAACCTTTACTGTGAGCAAGAACACAGGAAATAAACACAAAGGAGATGACCTACAGAACGATCGGTAAAACCCACGAGTGAGCCGCAGGTGGTGGGAGACGTGGGCTGGACGGCGGGCTTGCTGCAGCGCCCACACCGCCACTCGGGCTCCGAGGGAGCGCCTCCCACTGGGGTTTTCGACGACGTTCTCCTTGCAGAGTCTCTCATCCAAAATGGCACGCACGCCTCCCGGAGGCTGCTCTGGCCCTCGATGTTTTCCAGCAAAGACGTTTGTGAAGCAAGTACGGCACACCTGCCACCTGCTCACTGGATTTTGATGGCACCCCTGTGCCTGTGACCTTGGCCAGGCACCGATGTTCTGGCCGTACCCAGAGGGGCTCCTGAAACCCCTGTGGCAAGAACAGCTCTCTGCTCAAACCCAGCGTTTAAAAAGGTTGGCTGGGAGACTGGAAGTGAAAAAGGATGACGCCCCCACTTTCTGCAGCGATGGGAATGGGCAGTCAGGGATAGAAGTCACGCCCTCGGTGGCCACGCAACAAAGAGGCCCTGAGGTCAGTTCTGGGAGACAAAACAGCGGCCCGAGTCTCCTTTCATCTGAGACACACACCCAGCACGCTCCCTGAGCCCCTCTCGAGTGACCCTGGGGAGAGGCAGCAGTCCCTCATCCTGCCTCGGGCCTGGGGCGGACCTCTTCCCTGTGTCCAGGGTGCTTGCTGGGGCTGGCCCCTCTCGGCCTGAAGTACAGGAGGGGCTCACGGTGGAAAGGCTGGTGTCCCGGGCAGGCTGGGGGGCTGCCGGAGGGTGGGAGGGACCTCCTTCTGGGCCTCAGGAGGGGGCCGGGCTCTCGGGGCAGCCAAGCTGCTCTTGCTCTTGGCCGGGCCTGTGCTCCTCCTCCTCTGGCTCCAAATCAATGTTCTGTGGACAAGGCTGCTGGTGAGGCCTGGCCCTGTACCTGCCCACATGCAGTGACATCTCCCTGTGCGAGGCGTCCCCCGAAGGCGCTGTCTGCTGGAGCCGCTGCACTGGCTTGTGCTGCACACCCTGCTACAAGGAGCCACTCCTGGGTCCTACCTGACACTGGGCCTGACTTACCTCGAGCTCCTGCAAAACCTCATCCATGAAGTCCCGGGAATTCTGCTTATAAGACACAGCCAATCGAATCGCATCATTGAAGAGCTGGGGGAGGTGGGGGAGAAAGGAAACCTCGGCCGTGGGTGCCAGGGACCTGGGCCCCGCCGGTCTCGGACCCACTGGCACCACCCTCGGTCCACAGGGCACTGCAGCCCTCAGTGCACCTGCTTCCCATCTCGGCCTCCATGCACGGTCCACAGGCCCACCAGCCCCTCTGCAAGTAGTTACAGGGCCCCGCCTGTCACAGGCCCCACCGCCGCCCCAGGGCCCCACCCCCTGTAGTCAGCCATGCGCTGCCCCGTGTGTCCCCACCTCGCCCAGCTGCCATTACCTTGACCACGTTGGTGCCGTCCGCAGCCGAGACAAAGTACAGGGGCAGGGAGAACTTCCTGGCAAAGCTGAAGCTTTTTTGGGTCATCTTTATGTCCGCTGCAGAGAGGAGGTAGGACACCAGACAGTCATCAACAGAAAGAGAGGGGCTGGCGGGCCGGGTCACGGCCCCTTTCCAGAGAGCGGGGTGTTTACTGGGAGGGAGGTGACAGCGTGCAGAGGCAGGGAGGGCCCCACCGTCGATTTTATTGGCCACCAGGACACAAGGGATCTCCGGCCTGAAGTCCCGAAGCTCTGCGTACCAGGTACCCAGATTCCTGTAGGTCACCTTCCTCTGCACGTCGAACACCTGCAGTGAGCAGAGGCAGGCAGCTCAGGGGAGTCGAGGTCCCTGCATGTGGCCCAGGTGACTCGCCCCAGAGAGGCGGGTGTGGGAGCGCAGACTGGGCGCTGCTCTGAGGGGCGGCAGCCACCTCGACCACAGGGGCGGCACCTGTGTCCACCCTCCCTGTGGACGCCTCCCAGGACCTCCAGGCCCAAGAGTGGTTTCAAAGTCTTCATTTCTTTCTTCTTACCTGGTCACCCAATTTTATTTACCTATTTTAACAAGGTGTATCATCTTACTAGTCAATAATTTGTTATAAATTGTAAACGTTTTTCCTTAGTCTACTATTTTCATTGCATAAACTGTTTTAAAGTTCCCTTCAGTTACTATTTACTTTTAAATTCTAAGTTTTTGTGTAACCTTTTATTCAGTTTGTATTTTAAACTTATTTTTTAAAAAGATTTTATTTTCTAGACAGAAGGGAGAAGGGAGAGAAACATCAATGTGTCGTTGCCTCTCACGCATCCCCCACTGGAGACCTGGCCTGAAACCCAGGCATGTGCCCTGACTGGGAATCAAACCCGTGACCCTTTGATTCACAGGCTGGCACTCAGCCCACTGAGCCACACCAGCCAGGGCTGTATATTAAACTTAATAAAAATAATTTTTATGACTTATAAAAAATTGCAACTTACAATTTTATTTACTCGTTGAAACTTGCAGTTTTTACCTGTTTTAAAATGTCCTCAGAGCCCCGGCACCTTGAGTCGCTGCTGCAGGGACCCCTGAATCCCCCCCCAGCAGTTCCTCAAGGCCCACCGCCTGCTCTGGAATCAACTCATAAGGTGCAGACCACCTTGCTCAACAGTGCATTGCCACCTGCTGTCCCTTCTCGATCACCCAGCCCTCTGTGGGAACAGGTGGCGGGCAGCAGCCAGCTCATCCGGGCCACAGGAGGTCCCCTAGGCCCAGTGCCAACAAATGAGCAGGCGGTCTTTAACTCCTAATAGACTTCTTATAAAGCATTCTTGTAACAAAACTTCTGGTATCTGCTCCCCACCGGGCTGCCCCCTGTGATCACCACCCAACAGCCACCCTGTGCCCAAGCCTGGTGTACCGAGCCCCCTCTGCTTGTGCTGGGGGTTGTCCCTGTTGGGGTGTCAGGGGGAAGGTGGAACCCCAGCTCCCTCTGGGGCTATTAGAGTCCCTCCCACGTGGTCATCAGAGGCGAGTGCCAGGCAGCAGGTGGGAGCACCCCCAGCCTCAGCAGAGGGTCCAAGAGGAGCCCCTGGGGATGTGTCAGAGGCAGGAGGGCTCACTCCCCGAGGGAAGGGTGTGAGCCAAAAGCCCCGGAGGCCAGTACAGAACTGACCCTGGATGGCCGGGACCTCTCCCGGCTCTCACATCTCTGATGCTGTGACTTCTGGCATGACGCTGCCCTCACTGCCTCACCCTGGCACCCTCTTTGGTTTTGTTCCCTTACACGGACTAGTTAAAATTTTGGAAGATTTCAAGGGCTTTTGTTATTCAGGGATAGTAGGGCCTGAGGACAGACCCCAGGAGTTCAGGGGCACACCCTAAAGGACACAGGTTGACACAAATCTTCTCCCCTGTCCTGGCTCTTCCCACGGCAGAGTTGTGTCCTGCTGTGGCACCGTTCCCTGGCCATCAGCGCCCTGCAGAAGGCCGTGTTCTGGACAGAAAGTGAAGGCTGGGAGGGAGAGGAAGTGGCTGGCTGGGGAAGGAGAGTCCTCTCAGCCCTAGCCTCTGCCCCACGGTGAGAGCACCAGGTGGAGGACATGGGGGGCCTTGGGAGCCCCCTCAGCACTGCTGGGCCCGTTCCCCCCAGACCTCAGGCCAGACTTGCCCTGAGCCTCTGCCCACCTCCCAGCTGGGCTCGTACCATGATGCAGGCGTGGGCCTTGTGGTAGTAGGAGGCGTGCATGCTCTGGAACCGCTCTTGGCCTGCTGTGTCCCAAAAATCTGCAACGTGAACACAGCTGGAGGGCAGAGACGCCGTGTACCTCGACGCCAGTCCCTGTGCAGAGGCACAGGGGCATAGAGACCCCACAGTGTGCAGGTGTGTACTGTCAGGACCCGAGCAGCCTGCATGTGCCCCACAGGCCTGTGCACCACTGTGTGCACATGGGCGGGTGAGGGGAGACATGGGCCAGGGGGACGGAGAATGCAGCACGAAGCCCAAGGAGAAGGCAGGTGCCCCCCCGCTCCCTCCCACATGATGCAGGGCTCTCCAGTGCCAAAACCAGGCCGAGGTCCCTGTGGGGTAACTGCAGATGGCGGCCACGGCCGGGTGATACGTGAGGCCTGGCCGGGGGCAGGGCTGTCATTTTACCGACGGTCGGAACCCTTTGGGGAAGAAGGTACTGAGACCGCGCTGCTCTTTCTGCGCACCGGCTAGGTCGGAACCCCAGGGCGGAGCACAGGAACGAGCCCCATGCTGCCTCCCCCACCAAGCCTCCAGGCCTCCAGGCCCTCAGCCTCCTCCCTCCCACCCTTGTCCCCCGCCTGAGCATCAGAGGAACCAGCCTTGTCGCTCACCCACAAGCACCGTCCTGCCGTCCACTGTGGCCGTGTGCTTGTACAGGGTCAGGGCATAGGTGGACAGCTGCTGGGGCCGACTGCCGCCAGGTTAAGGAGTGAGGATGCACAAGGGAAGGAAGGAGGGGCAGAATCGGCCCTCTCTCCTTTTCTTTTCGGCATTAGTTAGATTTTAAAGTGAAAGGATGCTGGGTCAGGGGATCAGCCTCATGTGTCCCTGGCACCAGCTCAATGAAAGGCGAGGCTGGACACAGCTGGCGGTGTGCCCAGCCACCTAGGTCCGGGGGACCCTGAAGCAGAATTTCAGACTGGCTGTCATAAACGACATCATGTGCTTGGAAACAGCAACTTGAGCGATACGGGTGCCCCGGGAAGGAAGGCTGCACAGGCCGGCGGTGGACCAGCTGGGACCTGTCTTTTGTCTAGGTGTGAGCCCCACGAGAACACCGGGGACAACCCTACCCGATGCTGCCAGACGCTGGGTGGGGGACCCTGTGAAGCTGGGACACGTAGGTAGGTGAAGGGAGACCTGATGGGAGGGGCGGCCAGACACACTCCAACTGCCCTCCGCTCTCAGGGGCTCACCTGGGCAGCTTGGGAAACCGCCCCCGTGCCTAGCAGGTCTCTCTCCAAGCCCGCAGCGCAGGACTACTTGTGGGTGGAGGGGGGCTGATAGCTTGTGTTTTATGAAGCTCATTCCCACCAGAGAATTTCCAAGTACTAGGGGGCCTGAGCTTTGTGGTCAGAGAGGTTAAGTGATCTGTACACAACTCCAGGTGTCTGACCAATACCACAGCCACTCTAACACCCTCCGGATGTAAAGCAAAGCCAAGGATGAGTGAGCGCTGAACACCCAGCATTGAGCACGTGTGGTGCCATGTGGGTTGGGGGAAAGCCAGTGGAATGAAGCCAGTGCATTCTGCCCACCCCCATCTTGGACCCTGGGGCGCAGGGTCGACCTTGGGTGGGCGGGCCAGAAGGCGCAGGACAAGAGCGCGTCAGTCCTTGAAGGATACAATCCATCCATGAGAAACCTCTCCATGAGTCTGTAAGGAGACCATGCAGGGTGGTCAGATGCAGCCCCCAAGTCCCCCAGCTTACGTCCCCTGTGCCCCCCAATTCCCTCCACAGCCACACAGGACGCCCCCTTCCTGACTGCCCTGGAGGTCCCCCGCAGCCTGTCATCAGCACCAACTGAAGAAAGAAAGGGCCATCATCTGAGCTCTGCTGTGAGTCTGCACTGGAGACCACGGGAGCCATGGTGAACTCCACAGACCTAAGGCAGTTTGTGTGACCAGCTGACCCTGATCCCGCCCGAGTGAGCAAGTCAGTGCCATTAGGCCCTTCCCTACCCCTGAGCCGGGGGCTCACCATGACCGATTCTCAAAGCACACAGCTCACAGCTGCGAGTGTGAGCACCACGGTGCGGGGCCGAGGTCCATGCCGGCCACCCCTGACCTGCACGTGGGGCCGGGCCCGCAGCCTGAAGGCTGACCCCCAGCTTTGTGTAGGTCTTTCCAGGCCAGGTCAGATGTCATCTGAGCACTGTGACCTTACCCAGCACCAAGCTCCCTGTCACCGTGTGCTCGATCGCCGCCCTGCAGGCGACGCCCGCTGCAACAGCAGTCTTTCCCTCACCGACTCTCTCAGGTAGAGGGGATGCTCATGAAAGCAGGATTGGAATATTTCATGTATTGCTGCATCCCAGGGCCTAGGTCAAAAACGCGTGGACTGTAACCACCATCCAAACAACACGGAAAAACCGGCATCCACACCTCCATCCCCACGAGCAAAGGCTGAGTGACGGGCCTAGACTTCCTCACTTCTGAGACTGTGACGAGGCTTCCAAATACAGCCCCAAGCCGGTGGGTGTCCAACAAGGCCAAGTGGGGAGCAGACTTCTCACCCCATAGCATCAGCTAAGACCACAGCAGTCAGGGGTGGTGCGCATGTGTGGTATGTGGCCTCTCAGTGAAATAACATGAAGTTCAGAAGTCCAAGTTCCAGCAGAAAACCATTCCTCATACCGAGAACCAGGAAATCCTCTAACAGGATACAATGTCCCAGCTGGTGTGGCTCAGTGGACTGAGTGCCAGCCTGTGAACCGATAGGTTGCTGGTTCGATTCCTAGTCAGGGCACAGGCCTGGGTTGCAGGCCAGGTCCCCAGCTAGGGGCATGCAAGAGGCAACCGGTAGATGTTTCTCTTGTACATTGATGTTTCTCTCCTCTTTCTCCCTCCCTTCCCTTCTCTCTCTCTAAAAAAAAAAAAGGTAAAATGACAACCCGCAGGCGCCACCACTGTGAGGGTTCAGATGTTAGTCATCTGACAAGGCCGCTGAAGCATAAAAATGCACCACTGGGCGAGGGCAGATGTGCTGGAGGGAAATGGAAATACACACGCTTCTTCAATGGACTATTTTTCTGCACAGAAGTAGGAGACATAAGGACCCAATGATAGGGAGAATTGATGTCATTAAAATGTCTGTATTGCCCAGAGTAATCCATAGATTCAATTCAATTCCAATGAAAATACCAATGGCATTTTTCACAGAACTAAGCCAAATAATCCTACAATTTATATGGAACCACAAAACACCCCAAATAGCCACAGCAATCTTGAGAAAGAACAAAATTGGAGGTATCACAGCACCTAATATCAAACTGTACCTTAAGGCCATTGTAACCAAAACAGTCTGGTACTGGCATAAAAATAGACACACAGACCAATGGAACAGAACAGAGAGCACAAGTAAGCCCGAGTCTACGTGGCCAATGAACCTATGACAAAGGAGGCAAGAGCACACAATGGGGTAAAGACAGTTTCTTCAGTGAATGGTGTTGGGAGAGTTGGACAGATACACACAGACAAAAACAAAAGTAGGCCACTTTCATACTCCATAACAAAAACAAACTAAAAATGGATTAAAAACTTACATGTAAAACCTAAAATCACACAGCTCCTGCAAGAAAGCAAAGGCAGCAAACTCTCTGACATTGTTCTTCCTAATTTTTTGTTTGGATGTCTCCTTGCGCAAGGGCAACGAAAGGAAAAATAAACAAATGGGACCACAGCAGACTAACCCAGAGCTGCACTGGGTGCTGGGGGTGTGAGCTCATGAAGACCGCCTGAAACCAGCAAAGCCTTAAGCAGGGGTGTCCAACCCGCAGCCCTCATGTGGCCCAACACAAAATCATCAACTTACTTGAAACATTATGAGATTTTTTTTTGTGATTACATGTCACGATGTATTTAATGTGTGGCCCAAGACAACGCTTCTTCTTCCAGTGTTGTCCAGAGACGCCCAAAGGTTGGACACCCCTGCCTTAGAGAATCATTCACAGCTACTTGAGTCCAGGGACATGTTAGTGAAAGATGAAGGCGGAATCCTACGTGGTTCTGGGAGGTCAGACCACATGAGACACCTGACAGTGGCAAGTCCACCTTCATCCTTCGACAGCAGAAATGGACATGGGTGAGCAACAGTGCCGCAGAGCCTCTGGTCCAGTCTCCACCTGGGAGTCGTCCCCCCCGGTGCATGTGGGCACCGGCATCAGTTAGGAGAACAAACCAACCTTCACTCTGAGTAGTCAGTCCTCCTTTTTACTGACTTTCCTCGGTCTCAGTGAGGCCCTCTAGGAGAAGGCATTTTGGCCACCTGTACTCAGTCTATCACTGGTTGTGCTGGTCACACCGGCCACACATTCCTCTAGGCTTTCCCACAGCCTCCGCCTTCGGTCTATCAGTTCACAACCACTTACAGGTCTCGGTTCCCTGCCCCGGACAGCTGCACCAGGGCCCACTCTGGTGCCGTCCTGGTCCCCTGCTCTCCCATCACTTTCTCAGGGCACACTGGGGTTCCCGCTGGGACTATGCTCAACGCTCCCACAAAAGCTGAGCTCCTCTGCCCCTGGAGGGCTTTCCCAATGACCCAGACCCACTGTGGGCCTAGTTCATCTTTCCTAATCTCCGAACGTACTTGGACTTGCCCACAGCGCTGTCCCCCAGGCAGATGATTTTCACATGGTCCTCCGCATCATATTTCTCCTGGTCCAACTCAAAGGGTTTGGCTGTGTCCCCCGCCATCTGCTCTTGGGTCAGGTCCAGGGAGGGGGCTTTTGTCTGTATGGACAGGGCAGAGAAGAATGGATGAGAGGGGCTCAAGGACACACTCACATCCTTCTCTAGTCAGTGCCACTGGGCTGCCACCTGCTGAACCACAGCAGAAAGCTCGTGCCCAGCAAGATTCTCTCCTGCAGTCTACTCTGTCATCTCCTTCCGCACTCAGTGCCACCGCGCCCACTGCCCTGGGTGAGGCACTACAAGCCTCCTAACGCAAGGCTTCTTTCTCACTTGTAAAAACAGGGACACACAACAGTGGCCATGTCAAATGAACGGTGTGAGATACCTTACGTCCGGCAAAAACACAAAGCTCTGGAAGCCTGAACTGTCTCCGCTGAATGGCAATGGCAGTCCCCCCACCCCTGGCCAAAGAGCCTACCCGGTCCTCCGGATTCTGCCTCCTGCCCCGCACCCCGACAAGGGCGTTCTCACACCCATTTCTGCGGTTTGTCAACCTCTTACTAGTTTCAAGTGCTGTCCTTGCTTAAGCGAAAGTGGTCCTCCACCAGGATCACTTCTCTGGGGCGGGACTCGGATGCACAACCGCCGACCAGAGCTGCGCTGGGCGCAGGCCACTCGTGAAACACAGACCCAGGAGTCCCGCACGCCCCGCCCCTCCCCTCCCCTGCGCGCGGACACCTGGGCAACAGTCCGTCTCCCCCCAGGCCGCCTCCGTCGGGGAGCTGGCTGCGCCAGGACCACTCGCGTGCGGTCGAGGACCTGAGACCCGGCTGCGGCAGCATCCCTGGGCTGTGCTCCCCACGGGGGCGCTCACCGGCCGCGTCTCCGCGACCGCGCTCCGGCAGACTCTCGGCTGCACTCAGGCAGCGGCTCCGCCTGGCTAACCCGGGGTGCCCCTGACCTCGCCTCCCGCAGCCCCCAGCAGCCAAACACAGCGCGAGGCTCGAACACCGGCAGTGGCTGCGTGCTGCTCTCCGACCCACCGGCAACTCTCACTCAACAAACGTTAGGGGGCGGCGACCAAGTCTGCGGACCGCGGCCGCGTCCGCCTTCCTCCGTCCCGGCACAGCAGCGGCTGCGTCCTCTCGGGCGGAGCTGTACGCCGCGGGCGCCGCGGGCCGCCCCGTGAACCCCGCACCTGGAGGGACCCGCCCCAGTCGGCCAGCCCCAAGGGGATCACGCAGCGGCGCACTCCGCTTCCATCGGCCGCGTCGCCGCAGCTACTACGCAACCCTGGAAGGACCCCGACGCAGGCTGCCCGGACAAAGGCCTGAAGGACCCCCGCGAGGCGCGGCTGTCTAGCGCGGTGCCGGCGGGAGGACAGCCGGGTGACCGCAGGGGCCGGCAAGCCAGGGGCTCCGAGAGGCGGGAAGCGGGCGGTGGGGGTTGCGGGCCGGGGATGAGTCAGGGGTCCCGCGCCGCAGGCCTCGTGGGGTGGCGGGACAGCGGGCCTCAGAAGTTGGGGGCGCGACCCGAGGTGAGGGCGCCGGACCCCAGGTGGGGGGGGGTGGGGCGCACAGGACTGACGATTTCTAAAGTTTGCAGTTCTCTGATGAGGTGAATTTGAGCTAATATCCGTACCTTTCGACGTTTGTTGTTACTAAGAATACGGCCACAACCGAGCCAGAATCAGCAGGGGGCCTAGCGCTCCCTGGGCCTAACCCCTGGCCCAGGTGCGCGGAGCAGGTGGGTACCAGGCCAGCAGTCCTCCCAGGGCCAAGGCTGCAGCCGAAAGCAGGGCAGAGCTGCCCTGCCGGAGTCAAGCGCCCAGTGGGCAGACAGGTGCGAGTCAAATCCTGCACTATAACGTTCCGGAGGGGGGAAACAGTATTTGAAGAGATAAGAATGAGATTTCCACCCAAAAGACATGCACTCCATGATCCCAAGCAGGAAAAGGACAGTACTCTTACACAAGCCATAATAAATGTTTTCGACTCCAAAACAAATGAGAAGACGTTAAAAACGGCAAAAGATAAAGATTATTAAACAAGCCAAACTAACACTGGCAGCCGCCTCGCTGGTGTGAACGGACACCAGGTGGCGCCGTCTCAGGCACTGAGAGGCTGTGAGTTCGGGACTCCTCGGGGCGGCGCCGGGAGGCTTGAGTGGGGACGTTCTGTTCGGACAGGTGCCCATAGTTCAGGATGCAGCCGGTCCGTGTGGCTGTGACGAACGAAGGCAGGTGAGAGCTGGGGTCAGGTTCCGCGGTGAGAGCTAAGTTGGGGTGACTGCCAGGGTTGGTTCAGGACTCGGTTTAGGTTTGGGGCTATAAGCTAGCAGTACATGAAGACAAGATATGTGGGACTAGGCTTAGGTTCAAGGTTAGAGGTTGCATTTACAGGTTACAGGTTCCGATTTCGAGGTCAAAGTGTTCTGTTTGTGGTTAGGGTCATGGAACAGGTGAATGTGAAGGCTGTGGGCTAGGTTTAGCATTACATTTTAATTTAGGGTTACAGAGTCAGAGGTAGGGGCTGGAGTTAGGGTTTGGGTTCAGCAGTTAGGGTAAGGATCACGGCAAGGCTCCAGATCGAGTTCAAGGGTCAGGGTCTGGATTATGGTCAGAACCAGAGGTTCGGAGTCAGGATCAGGTCTTAAGGGTTAGGGGTTAGAATTAGGGATTTTAGGGCTGTGTGAGGACAGATGTGTAAGGAGGGGCAGAAGCCTGCCAGAGCGGCCACTGAGGGGCTGATGTAGATGGTGAAGACCGGACAGCGTGATGGAACCCAGTGAACACATGTTGAGATGTGAGTGTCTCTGCAAGACCCCTGCCTCACGCTGGTGCCACCATGTTTGGCATCAGTGGCCGTGGTTGCTCCCAGAAGAACTTTAGTCCCAGTAATGTCTCATTTACACAAGACCCACAGCATCAGCACAGAGTGCCCTTGCTCTGTCACTCGGTTCCCACTGTCCCAAAGGGCCACACATGTCCCGCACATGAGTGCCCAGGGCAATGCACACTAGTCGGGACTTCCACAGAGGTCCATGCAGGCCCCAGTGAGGACAGCAGGGTGGCTTTGGTGTCACCATCCAGCCCCCAGGCCCACCTCAACTTCCACACCTGCCCCTGGGGTATGAAATACCATGTTTTACTGTGACCCAGCTTTCCTGGAACGGTCCCTGAGACTGAGCCCCATCCTCACACCTTGATGGATTTAAAGGGCACTAACAACTGTGGCCTGGGCCTGACTACTGTATCCTTCTGTGAAGACCAAGCCCTGCCTTCCTGCAGGGACACCTGGCCTGATGTTGTGACTGCCCAGGACCACCCATCTGCATTTGCAATGTGCAACCACCTAGTTCCAGAACCTTCTTTCCACCCTATGGGGAACCCCTACCACTCAGCTGTCACTGCCCTTTCCCTTCCCCTGAGCCCCTGGCAACAGCTAATGCACGTTGCATCTGTGTGGATCTGACCCTTCTGGTCATTTTATGTAAATGGAATCGCACACAGTGTGTCCCTCTGTGACTGCCTTCTCTCGCTGAGCATCGTGTCTTCAGGGTCCATCCTCCTTGTAGCCTGTGTCAGAGCTGCGCTCCTTGTTATGGCAGAGGAATGTTCAGTGTGTGGCTGGACCCCCTCTTGCCTGTCTGTCATCCATCAACCGACACTCAAGTTGAGCTCACCTTTGGGCTTATGGGTCATGCAGTTGTGAACATGGGTGCACAGATCTCTGCTCAAGTCTCTGTTCTCAGTTTTGTGGGGTGTGCACCCAGAAGTGGAAGTGCATGGTAACTTAATAGTTAATTTCTGATGAACCACCATGTTTTCTACAGCAGCAGCACCACTTTATATTTATGACTTCGTTTTTGACTGAATAGTATTGTATTCTAGGGAGAGAGTACGTTTTGTTTATCTACCTTTCTGCTATGTGACTAATGCATTACAAACATTCATGAACAAAGTTTGTGTGGGAAACCTGTTTTAAATTTTGGGAAGTAGATAACTGGAAATGGAATTCAGTCAAAAGGTAACTATTTTTAGCTTTTTGAAGACACGTTAAACTGTTTTACATTCCTAGAGCGTAAGAGTCAAACATCTCTGCACATACTAGTCAAAACTTATGTTCAATTTCTTAATTATATTCATCCTATTGTATGTGGAAACAAATATCTCGTTGTGACTTTAATCTTCATTTTAATAATGATTATTTCCTTGGCTGGTGTGGCTCAGTGGATTGAGTGCTGGCCTGCTGACCAAAGAGCGGTCGGTTCAATTCCCAGTCAGGGCACATGCCTGGGTTTCAGGCCACATCTCCAGTGAGGGTGCGTGAGAGGCAACCACACATTGATGTTTCTCTTTCTCTCTATCTCCCTCCCTTATACTGTCTAAAAATAAATACAATCTTTAAGAAAAAGCAAAAACAAATAACAGTGGATACTTATTATTGAGATCCACATAGTTTATGCAGACACTCCTCTTCACAAGCCTGGCACTGGGAGGACAGAAAGGTCATCCTTCCAGGACCCCCTTTGGTGAACCCACCCCAGCAGGAACAGGGTGGGTCATGCTTAGGTCTCCCTCATCCAGGAGGAGTTATGATGGTGTCCTCACTGATTGTTGACCATCTCTCTGTATTGAACTCAGTTCTGGTTCTAAGAAAAGTGTGACCACTGGGAGCTGCTACCACCCTTGCTTATGCAGATGCAGATGCAGATGCGGATGTTTACCCTGTTCTCACCCTGGACTCCCACCCATTGGGTCCATGGGAATTTTGTGCTCTTGGGCCATTGCAGACATTGTCTGTGAATGGGTGGCCAGGAATGACCAACATTGTGTATGTCCATTGTCCCATCAGGCTTTACTTTACAAACAAGTTTAAAGATACAATAAGTATTAATTTTGAGATGGTTGTCAGTGATGTATGAAGCCCTGTGGAGCCCAGGTACAAGGACAGTGCATTACAGAAGCTTCTGTGTCATGGCTTCATGAATGCCACATGCAGATAAGGTGCACCTGTTACAGGAGAAACTCAGTTCTTCTTGCCAATGCAGTAAAGGATTACAGATCATCAAGTGTATTAGCATGCAAGCAGGGTTTATTAGTGATATGTTCTTGCTGAAGAGGACAGGTCTTGCTGAGGTGGGAGTGAAAGGCAAGAGCTTGGGTGGCAAGAGCACCAGGTCCTTTGTCCTGAGAACTTATGTAGTTGCTGGAATGGGGTAAAGAATCTACCTATTGATTGATGGGTAAAAGTGGTGCCAGCTTCCACAGGGGACAGGACTACCCAAATGTAGGTGTGTATAGGGGTTGATAGCCTGAATCCTTACCTCCTTCAGACCCCATTTGGCCATCTTGTAAAATAGATACATGACAGGAGACGGTTAAAGTTGAGGCAGTTACCCAAAGTTACCAATGGGCTCTTTCTGTAAGCACTAGGGACCCTCTCATAAAACAGGTAGTGGCCAGAGGCAAGGAATTAGCCAAATTTGTTTTATGGGTCCTTTTCTTCAGTGCTGCAGACCCCCTCCCATCTTCTAGGGCTTGGGATGAATAGTCCCAAAGCCTTTCTTTCCCAGGTAGTGGAGACAATACCTGGAATTTCAACGTGTTAGCATGGTGTTTCTTGTGATGCTGGAACATCTGGCAGTAGAACTGGACCAGGCTCAGGACTGCTGAGTTTGTGGGTGAGACATGTCTTCCTCGTCCTCCCTGCCTTAGCTCACCATCTACCCTAACACCCCAGTGCAGGCAGGTGCTGTTCCCCCGTCAGTTCTCAGCAAGGGGTGGGTGAGGGTCTTCTTTCACAGCTCACTCTCAGCACTGCCTGCCTGTGTTGAGTAGGCTCTGAGGATGCGCAGGGTCAGTGTGAGGGGGGTGACCTGCAGGGAAGGGAATCCCCAACCTCAGACCTCCTTCTCAGGGCAGCTCAGTCTATGTGGGGAAAGCAGTGGGGTCTGCTCAAATTCTGAATTTGGCTGCAGACCTCTACCCTGTCCTTATCTTCCTTTGTTCAGCACTAAAGACCCAGAGGGCATGGACACCAAAGTCTGTTCAGCAGGACTCGCAATTTCAGCGATCCTCTTGCCACATTCTGTCTGTGCTGACTCAACTTTGAATGTCAAACTGAAAGGCTGGAGTTCCCATTTCCATTGTACAGACTAGGAAGCAGGCAGAGAGAAGTTGAGAATCTTGCCTTAGGTCACACAGCTGGAGAGAACAGAGCTGAGATTCACACCCAGTATGGACTGATGTGGAATCTGTATGCTGTGCACCAGGAAATGCTGACCCTGAAAAGGCAGCAAGGAGGAAGAACAGGTGCCCAGATTCAGCCAGGCTCACATCCACGCACAAGCATCCATCCCTCCCTGCCATTCACCTCTCAGGCTCCAGAGGTTGTAGGAAACCAGAAGAGCCAAGAGAAGCCAAGGGAGAAGGGGTAGGGAGCTGATTAGGAGAAAAGGCCCCCTTCCCAGGGATATGGACCCTACCTTGTGGGGTGCGAGACACTGTGGATGAGATCTGAGACAAATTCACAGACTACCAAGTCCTGTGGATGAAAATGGACAGCCTAGCCATTCTCAAAGGGAGAGTGCCCTGACCCCTGCCTTGACAGGCTTTTATTGCTTCTCTGGGCACATTACATGATGGTCCTCATTTACTATGCAGAAGTTCAGTTTAGATGGTTACCTTTTACAGAAAACAGAGGAGAGGATACCACTAATCACATCACAGAAGGATATTTGCAAATGCAAAGGGAAAAGTGGTTGAACTGGTTACACTCTTCCTTGGTAAATTCAGCATAGACTTTAGGAAGTTATGTTAAAGATATGTAGTAAATGTTTTTTGCCTCAATTTAGGGTGAGGGAGTTTTTGCAAAGAGCCAGTTTCAAAATGGCATGGGTCCTGTCCAGGCCCATGCCACACAGAAGTCTCCTATATCTCAGGAGTCTGGGGAATTTCCTTCCTTGATGAGTCCCTCTCAAATCCCTCTCTGGGCAGTAACCAAAGTAGACTGACTCCAGACTTACACATTAGTAGGAGCTTAATTTCTGTGGCTGAGTGTATGAGTTTTTTGTGGCTCTTCAGGACCCCTTTGCTTTCAGTGATGGGGAGAATGAGAGATGTGTATGGAGACAAAACATTTTAGAATAGGTCAAAAAACCATGAACGAGTTTGGTGCTGACATCCCCGTATCACTATGGAACTGTTTGTCCATTTCATCTCGTGTAATGAAACTGGAGGGTTTGTTTAACCAGTTATTTCTGTATAAATTACAATCTTGTGGAGAGTAAGGGGCCATAGACTTCCTATAGATATTGATATGCAATTTCAAAATAATGACTCACTCAGTCCACCTGCAAACACAGGGGACAGACTCTCCCCTGAGTGTTTCCTTTGGTGTCTGATGAGACTTGGTCTCTGTGTAAAGCCTCTCCCGCACTCCTTACAAACATAGGACTTCTCCCCTGAGTGTGTCCTCTGGTGTGTGATGAGATGTGACCCATCACTGAAGCCTTGCCAATACCCTCTATGCTCAATCATTACAATTCTTGGCATTCCTACTTTCACAAGTAACTTGCCTGTGTCCTCTGGCCTCTCTGGGGCTCTTCTTCCATCGGTCTCTTGTGCTCACTAGAGCTCATTTGTTCTTTGGAAGGTTGGAAAAAGGGTTTTGAGATTCTCCTCTGACTGATCCTTTTAAGCAAAGGTTTGGACCTCTCCTTGACCTCTTGACCTTCAGCTGTATCATTCCAGCTGTGTGTATTAGTACATTGCTGCTGCTGATTCTGACCCTCTGGACAGGGTTCCTCTGCTTGGAGGTGTTTTCTTGCAAATGTTCCTGGGAGAATCTAAGAGGGATGACTGAGTTTCACGTGTTGGCTGAGGAATTTCCGACTGGAGAAGGCCAGAGAGCAGGAGGGACATGGGTGCACCTCTGGCTTTGGTTCTGCTGAAAGAGAAAGGTTTGGTCAGGGCAGATGTTGATAAGAATGCCTGGGCCCTATAATTAGTCTCCTGCTCCATGAGTCCTTCTTACTGTGGTGACAATGGCTCTGTCTCCCACAGTGTGTCCACTTGTAGTCTATTTTCCTTTTTATTTTTATGCAGTGCTTCTTCTTCCGAAATCCAGAAATTCCCTATCAAGGGTCTTTTCTAATATTCCCCAGAGTAGGGACTTTTGAGTAGCACGAGAGGCCATTTCACTCCCTGAGCTGCAGTGACCTTTCTCCTGTACAGGTATCTTCTAAGTCATGTTAAAGAGGGAAACTGCAGGCCCCAACTAGGAATTGCTTCTCTTTCAGTTTTTCAAATCAATAAATTAAAATGTCTTTCCTGCCCTTGTTCGTGTGGCTCAGTGGTTTGAGTGCCTGTCTGCGAAGCAAGGAGTCGCAGGTTAGATTCCCAGTCTGGGCACCTGCCTGGGCTGTGGGCCAGGTACCTAGTAGGGGGTGTGCCAGAGACAACCGGTTAATGTTTCCCTTGTACATTGATTTTTTTTCTGCCTCCTTTCCACTCTCTGTAAAAATAAATAAAATATATTTTAAAAAGATTTATTTATTTTCGCCCTGGCTTGTGTAGCTCAGTGGATTGAGCACAGGCCTGCGAACCAAAGGATCACGGTTTGATTCGCTGTCAGGGCACGTGTCTGGGTTGCAGGCCAGTTCCTAGCAGGGGACGCACGAGAGGCAACCACACATTGATATTTCTCTCCCTCCTTTCCTTCCCCTCTAAAGATAAATAATAAATAAAATCTTAAAAAAAAAGATTTATTTTCAGAAAAGGGGGAAGGGAGGGAGGGTGAGGGAGAGAAACATCAGTGTGTGGTTGCCTCTCATGTGCCCCCTACTAGGGACCTGGCCTGAAATCCAGGCCTGTGCCCCAATTGGGAATCAAACCGGTGACCCTTTGGTTCACAGGCTGACGCTCAATCCACTGAGCCACACCAGCCAGGGCAAAAATCTTTAAAAAACAATGAATGCCTATATACAAAAACATTTTATTTAGAAGTATGGAGGAAAATTAAGAAATCACTATAAAAGTTTCAGAAAAACTGCTTCGGTGAGAGAAGTGGTTAGTGCTTAGAAACTTTTCTTTTTTGCCTCTCAGTCTTTCTGCACTATATGCGGTTGTATATTTTGTGCATGAAATATTTTAAAAATAATATAAAAATTTTGCCTAAGAGTCAAAAGCATATGAATGAATTGTGAATTTCTGAAACTGCCACGTCCACAGTTGGATCCCTTCCTTGACAAAGTCAGGAGGGGAGGTCCAAGACTTCAAAGAAGCATTTTCCAACCTGGTGGACGTGGCATGGAGGGCATGTTTACCCCCCCGAGTCAATTTTAGACATACCTAAAACGCAGAATAAGAATAGGCCCCCTGCGACAGCCTAACCAAGGCAGACAGCCAAGTTCCTGTTCAGACCGAGAAGCACAGTAACAGTAACTGCAAAAGCCAACGAATCCGAAATCGCTTGCCAGCTGAAATCGCTTGCCAGCTAGAATAGTATAAAAGCTTCAGCCTTACTTTCAATAAAGGTCTTCAGAGCATCACCTGCCTTGAGCTGCGTAGTTGCCTGATTTCCACGCCAACTCCTACCTTCACCTCGAGGGGACCCTTAGACCCGCTGCGGCCAGACCGCGGCATGAAACTTTGATTTGAAACTTTACTGACTTTAGAGTGGATTTTACTCTACTTAAGAGTTGGATCGCCCTGGCTGGTGTAGCTTAGTGGATTGAGTGCAGGCCTGAGAACCAGAGGATCGTGGTTTGATTCCCAGTCAGGGCACATGCCTGGGTTGCAGGCCAGGTCCCAGCAGGAGATGCACGAGAGGCAACCATACATTGATATTTCTCTCCCTCTCTCCTTCCCTTCCCCTCTAAAGATAAAAAAATAAAATCTTAAAAAAAAAAAAAAAGTTGGATCGACCTCCGGCCAAGATGGAGGTATAGGTAGACACACTGTGTCTCCTCACACACCCAAAATAAAGACAACAAAAATTTAGAAACAACAAAAAAAAACCAAGAGTACTGACAGAAAATTGAACTGTATGAAAGTCCTAAAACCATGGAGTTAAAATGCACATATTCACACAGACCGTTAGGAGGGGCAGAGTTAGGTGGCCTGGTGGAGAGGGGTCAAGGCAAAAAAAAAAGGCACAGACGACAGAACAGATCAAAACTCCAGAAAAAATACAACTAAGCCACAAACCACAAAGAGATAGCCAACCTATCAGATGCACAGATCAAAGCACTGGTGATCAGGATGCTCACAGAACTGGTTGAATTTGGTCACAAATTAGAGGAAAAAATGAAGGCTACACTAAGTGAAATAGAGGAAAATGTACAGGGAACCAATAGTGATGGGAAGGAAACTGGGACTCAAATCAATGGAGTGGACCAGAAGGAAGAAAGAAACAACCAAACAGAAAAGAATGAAGAAACAAGAATTGAGAGGAATGAGGAGAAGCTCAGGAACCTCTAGGACATCTTTAAACATTCCAACATCCGAATTATAGGGGTACTACAAGGAGAAGAGGAAGAGCAACAAATGGAATAGTTAGTTGAACAAATAATAAAGGAGAACTTCCTCAATCTGGCAAAGGAAATAGACTTCCAAGAAGCTCAGAGAGTCCCAAAGAAGTTGGACCCAAGAAGGAACACACCAAGGCACATCATCATTATATTAGCCAAGATTAAAATGAAGGAGAGAATCCTAGAAGCAGGAAGAGAAAAGGAGACAGTTAACTACAAAGGAGTTCCCATCACACTGTCAGCTGATTTCTCAAAAGAGACCTTATAGGCAAGAAGGGGCTGGAAAGAAGTATTTCAAGTCATGAAAAGCAAGGACCTATGTCCAACTATGCTCTATCCGGTAAAGCTTTCATTTAGAATGGAAGGGCAGATAAAGCACTTCTCAGACAAGGTCAAGTTAAAAAAGTTCATTATCACCAAACCCTTATTATATGAAATGTTAAAGAGCTTTATCTAAGATAAAGAAGAAAAAAACCATGTATAGTAAAATGACTCACAATTATTAACAAGCACACCTAAAACAAAAACAAAAAGAAAAACAATAAGCAAACAAGTAGAACAGGAAGAGAATCACAGTAATGGAGATCACATGGAGGGTTATCAGTGGGGGAGTGGGAAGAGGAGAGAGGGGGAAAAGGTACAGAGAATAGGGAACATAGATGGTAGGTAGAAAATAGATAGGGGGGAGGGTAAAATAGTATGGGAAATGTAGAAGCTAAAGAACTTATGACACATGGACATGAACTAAAGAGGGAGAACGTGGGTGAGAGCGGGTGTATAGGGTGGAGGGGGATAAAGGGGGGAAATGGGACAACCTTAATAGCATAATCAATACATTAAAAAAGAAACATTACTTTCATATACAAAGAAAACTTCATCTTACAGAAAATGTTAAACTGAGAAAAACCACTATTATAAAATGGCATATAATAAACCTCTTACATCTAAAAAAAAAAAAAGCTGGATCATGACTATTTCTATGGAGAATTCTCTTCTCTTTCTGTTTTGAACAGTGGTACCCACCTCTCTCAGCTGCGAGCTCTCTTTTCCACTTGCTGCCCAGCTCCTGGCCATACTCGTCCCTGCACCAGACCAGCAGCTCATGGCCCGGCCTAATGACATGGCAGGTTCGGTAGAAAATCTGCCTGTGGTACTGAAAGACCACCAGGTTCTGCTCTTCATCATCCCGGGCACAGCTCACAAACCTGGGATTGAGGCAGATGAAGGGAAAAAAAAGCACAGAGATGAGTTCCCACTACCTGTTACATCCATGTCCAGCCCCTCACTGATTCTGAAGGCCCTCAGGCTCTGGTGTTGCCCACTGCCCCTAATGTTCCCGGGGAACCTTCTGTTCAGTGTCTGAGCGTCTGTCAGCATGTCATGTGAACACCTGTCTCCAAGTCCTGCTTGTGGTGCTAATGCTGCTTAATTAATACCACTGTATAAAAAATCCAGTTCTAGACTTAACCTCCACCCTGATTGGCCATAATATCCAGCTATCTCTGGCTTCTCCAAACTCTAAGTCAAGATGTCTCACACCACAGAACCTGGTGCTTGATCTAGGGCTCTGCTTCTGAATTAGCTCACTAATTATCCAGTACGCAGCCTACGTCTGTTTTCTCTTGAGAGGCCCTTCTCCAACCCCCCTACCCTTTATTTAGGATTCACTTGCCTGCCCAAAGTTACTATAGAAAATTTAGTATCTTTTTGTCTTGTTGGAATAAAACAGAATAGTAGTTGATTCACATTCTGTTAACCCTGATACAAGAGAGCCCCTCTCAGGAAAGGGCCCATGACCGTTCCTCTGCAGGCCCCAGAGCCCAGCTCTAGTTAGAAGTGAGGCTGGGATGGTTTGCTCCCCTCACGGGTTTAGGACACCCTTGGTTTGTGCTATCTTGACACTGTGCACTTTTTGGAAATTACAGTTAAGTGTTTCCAAAAGCAATTGCTCTATGTCCATCTGTGAGAAGTCCTCCATAAGGACATGGGTTGTGTGATCTGTTTAAATAATGTATTCCTTCACCTAATCTGGAATATAGTAAGTGCTTAATCAATGTTCATTTGATAAATTGTAATCCAGTGTCTGTCTCTGGTGAATTTAGGCTCTTCAAGGTCCTTTCCAGAGCCCAAATTGTGTCTAGTAGAGAACTTTATATTTTGAGGACGTATGCTATACTTTTTTTCTAAATATCCCGTGAAGTGAAAAACACTGTATAAAGAAAAAGAGGGAAAAAATTAAGGGAGACCACTGAGCAAGGCATGATAAGAGGGAAAGACACATGGGCTTGTGGGGGATGAGAGTCCCCTCTGGCACCCAGAGACCTGTTGCCCTCACCTCATCCAGTCGGCCCAGGACCTGTCCTTTCCATCCACATACTCATAGCAGTTTCTCCCTTTGGCGATCTGTGTTTCAGAAAAGAAGTTAAAGACCTTTTATTTTTTTGGTGGGGAGGTTATAGTCAGAAGAATTATTTCACACTATTGTCATCAAAGCTCATTTGGCCTGCATGGGGATTCAACTGCCAGCTGTGACATGATATTTTTCTTAATCATCACATACACAGCCGAGTCTACCTGTCCAATCACAGAAGGAGCCTCACCAGGGAGGAGCCACTCTTTTGTGCACCACTTTGCTCCCGCTTACCTTCTGATCCTTAAACAGGAGCTCTGTGTCCATGGAAAGTCCAGTCAGTACACAGAGCAAATCACATCGTTCCCTCCATGTCTAGCACATAAGAGCTGAGGTCCCCCCAAGTCTCAGAAGGAATGTGGGAAGGCAAAGGACAGTGGAATAAGTAAGTAGTTCTCACCAGCCAGGAGTGTCTGCTCTTGGCTGCCTCTTCATGTTCTGTTATGTGTCCTTCATAAGGGCCAAAGTGCAGACCCACTTGCAAATCAGCTGCTTCATTCCACACTCCAAGCCCAGCCTCAGGGATGCAGGATGGCCCGATTCTCAACCCAGGGGGCAGGGTGAGGGCTGAGTGGTGGGGATGCCCCTTGTCCACTGCACTGTCCTTTACAAATGCAGGGAGTTCATGCACAGCGCAGCTGTCAATGAAGAAGTTCTGACAGTTCTCACAATCTGGAGGCGAGAGCAACAGGGGTTGGGGAACGTTTAGCACATGTTCCTGGACACAAAGAGCTTCAGAGGCAGTCCAGCACTGACATCAGTGAGACTCAATCCTGTATTCCAGGTCCCTAGAGGAACGGAATGATTTGAGGACCAAAGGACTAGATGGAATTATTGTATCATAACTTGCTTCTTAGTGAGGGTCACTTACAAAGGTAGTCATCATCCTGGGGCTCAGTGACCTCTTGGTACACACAGTCCTTTCTTTCTTCTAGGCTGTACATCTTCACGTCCATCTCCTTCCTCCTGAGTTCTGAGTTGGAGAAGAGCAGGTGAGCCAGGTTGGTGGGATCTATAGTGTTAGTTCCCATTTTGTCAGATAACACACAATCTGCTCCCATAATTTATTACCTGTCCTTTGCATACTCTGGTATGTTACCGTTAACTATTGGTTCCAAAAACTAAGACACCACACTAACTACAGATGAGTGATTCAATTCTAGTTTCTAGATCTTCCCATTACCAGGTTTAACTTGCCAACCTTTAATCATTGATAAAATATTTATTGAGTGCACATTATGTGTTAGGCATTGAGTAAAGGCCTGGGCACACAACACCAGTACAGTGTGGTTGCTATTATCGCAGATGGATTTTTTGGACAACTTGCATGTGTCACCTGTTTTAAACTCAATTTAATGTTTTCAAACAATAGATGAGTGATGTTTCCTTACCTTCACTTTACACATTAGCCTGCAGGGGCTCAGAGAATTTATAGGATTTGCCCAAAGGTCCAGTGGTAACTTCAGTCTCAGCTTAGCCCAACTTATATCCAGGCCTACCAAAGTCTGTCCCACAGACCTAGGTCATACTTATCAGCCCTTCTGTAGGACTTAGAGGAACTAAAGTTTTCAAATTATTTTCTTACCCGATTTTTGTCTAGTGTGCTTTCCAAAGGCACGTGTTTCTCCAGGAGGGGACACTGGTTTCTGGGCCTGCTCTGAGTCACTTGCAGTCATCAAATTTGCTGTACTTGACAATTCCTCCAAACTATATTCATTGCTTAATGGCACCCCGGATGTTGCCTTCAATATAAGAATCGTATTATTAAAAGATAACACGTATTTAATTTTTTAAGGCCTATCATATAATTTACATGCATGTCTTTAATACTTCAACCCCTGGAAATACCTAGGGAGTATGAATATTAGAGGGGATAGGGCCAATGTGGGTAATGAATCCAAGATTAGAACTTGTGCCTTTATGACACTTTTCTTTCAATTGTCTCTGTAATATTGAGAGTGAAGGATATTTGGAAGAAAATAAATAAATAGTTGGCAGAAACATATCTATCTAGACAAAAATAAAATGGTGACAAAGTTTGCAATACCGTAGAAAGGATATTTGTACTCAGATTAGCTGGTTCCCACCAATTCTGTTTGAATAAGGCTGTATCAGTAGCTAGTTGTCTTTAGTGTCATGATCTCTAACATACTAATTTTCAATGTTCTACTGAACGTGCAATTACAATGCTCACCGAAGTGTTGTGAATTGTGTAATACAGTATGAATGTGAGATTACAGTCCTGCTATCAATTTACCCCATTCTCCATATTTCAAATCTCACAGAAATCACCTTCAGCATTCATTGATCATCTTCTAGTTTAATTTGTAACTGTGAAACCATTCATGCAGCAAACATTTGGGGCCTCTGACCTCTAAGAAGACTCAGGTATGGACCAGCCTCTCAAAGAGCTCACAACCGAGAGGTAGGCAGGGTGAACAAATGATTCTAAACAGAATGAGAGTGGCCTCACTGGAACTCAGAGAAAGAATCTGTTACTTCACCCCATAAGAAATGGCATTTGAAATCAATTCCAGACAGATGGGCTTCTATTGAACAGTGTGAACCTATATGAAGTCCTTAAGTCATTTTATTATTTGTTGTTTCTCAGTCATCAAACCTGAAGCTCCTCAGGGCTGGGAGATGCTCTTTATTAGAGTGGGAGGCTGTGATCCTGGACACTTTACATTCTTCTTCATCTGGGACCATCCACTGTACAAACTGCTTGCACATTGTACACTTTCCTTAGTCAGAGGGTCTTAGTGCATCTCTCACTGCAGCATAGCAGAGAAGAACTTTGGTTGAAATCATCGGTCAGATGAATGATGTAATGACATATGGATAAGACAGTGTAAACTTTAGAAAACTATGAAAAATGATTTTTCTAATTTTAAAAAATATTTTATTTTTCTTGAGAGAGAGGAAGGGAGAGAGAAAAGAGAGGGAGGGAAACATTGATGTGAGAGAAACATTGATCACTTGCCTCTCGCAAGCACCCCAACTGGGAGCCTGGCCCACAACCCAGGCATGTGCCCTGACCAGGAATCAAACTGGTAATCTTTCCCTTTGCAGGATGACACCCAACTGAGTCATGCTGGCTAGGGTAAAACTATGTGTTTTAATGAGTTCGTAAGTGGTTTAGAGAAGCAACTATGGGTTAGACTGCACTACCACTGATACTGTGATCTTAGACATACAGTCAAACTTTTCTATATCTCTGAAAGCTCACTTCCCTCATCATAAATGGTGACAGTTATAGTATATACCTCATCGGTTTGTTGTGATGTTTCAGTGAGTTTATTCACATAGAATTCTTAAAGTCTGAAACATGAGAATGAAACAAATGGTGGTTACTATTGTTGCTGTAGTTCTTGAATATAAAGATGACGATGAGCCCTGGCTGGTGTGGCTTAGTGAACTGAGCACTAACCTGCAAACTGCAAGGTCGCCAGTTCCATTCCTGGTCAGGGCACACGCCTGGGCACAAGCCAGACCGGGCCCCCCAGTTGGGGGTGTGCGAGAGGCAAGCTATTCATGTTTGTCTCCCTCACTTTCTCCCTCCTTTCCCCTCTCTAAAAAATCAATAAATAAAATCTTTTAAATATTTTATTGGATTTTTAGAGGGGAAGGGAAGGAGAAAGAGTGGGAAAGAAACATCAATGTATGGTTGCCTCTCATGCATCCCCCACTGGGGACCTGGCCTGCAACCCAGGCACGTGCCCTGACTGGGAATCGAACCAGCGACCACTTGCTTCACAAGCCCATGCTCAATCCACTGAGCTACACCAGCCAGGCCCAATAAATAAAATCTTTTAAAAAAGATGATAATGTTGGACAATGTGTTGAAGAGACCAAGAAAGGAAGGCAGCAGTTCCTAGGATGCTTTCTGTAATTTTCTACTCTTACCTGCATTTCTATCCACAGAGAAAATTTTGTCGATGGGACACACTCACCTTCTGGTGTTTCCTCTGTTCCCTTCTGAAAGTTACCCAAGAAGGTGTCACTGAAAAATGATGAGAAATCAGTGTTTTGGTTGGTAAATGTTTCCAAAATCTGGAGATTCTTATTAAGGACACACAATTCTGAATGAAAGTAGTCCAAGAACAATCCCAGGATAATTGGAAAATGTTTTCTGAGGTATCATTAAGGCCTATGCTTCTATTGGGGCCATCCACTAATTTCATTAGAATGATAAAAAAAAAACTGACAAAGTGGCATCTACACTGCACCCTATGTTCATAAAGCATCTATTACATTTATTAAAAAATAAATTGGCCTCTCCTGACAAAGACGTAGTGAAAGTAACTGCACAGAAACTCTATGTCTTCAACATAACCCTTTCTCTGCTCTGTTGTCTTCATTCAAAAACTGGCCTTGTCCAGGCTAAGGGCACTACCAACCCCTCACCTCCCTTCTCTGGTATCCTCCTTCCTGTGCACATACTGGCCATCCACGCCCTTCCTTATCATTAGACTCTGCTTGGCATCCACAGTGCCAAGCTGATCACAGAAACAGAATTCCAGTCAAGTTAAAGATCACATCTTGACTTCAGCTGTGTTTCAACCCCAGACCCATGAAAGTGGACTGACCCCACCAATCAAACACTCAAGACATAGGACAGAACGGCACTATAGCTGAGATCAGGAAATGATACAGTGATCAACCACTCCCGTTCCTGGCCTTCCCCAGCTCCCGTAATCACCATGGTTAAAACTGCCCCCCATCTGTCCTGGTGCAGGCCATCATGGAGCCGGGTATGGGGACACTCCTCACCAGCCAGACCAGCCTCCTCTCTTGTGATGACAACTCCTCTGAATTCGTTATTTCTTATTCACTTGTATGTTCTTATACATTTACTGCTTATTAATATATCTATAAGTATATATGATTATGTTACAGGAATAGCCCCTCACTGTACGACACACTGTTCTGCATCCTGCGTGTTCGCAGGACAAGCAAACCCTGCTGCCTGGTTATGTCCTGAGATGCAGCCTGACCTAAACCAGGTCCGTGTCAGGAGGGCAGCTCAGGCTCCTCCTGCCCCTCACCTTGCTGCCTTGGAGTCCATTCTTCATCAGAGTCCTCAGGGTCCTCCTCCTGGAGCTCGGTGGCCTGCCTGGGGTGGTGACACAGGAAAGCTGGTCGAGGGGCCCTGAGACCTGGAAAGACACAAAACCTTTGTCCTGAAAGCAAAGGTTGGAGGAGGAACAAGCTCCAGGAGGCCAGTGGGACTGGCTCTGATCAAATAGGAGAGTAAAACGAGTTGCTGTGAGCGCTGCACCACCAGCGCCAGCCCTGCTCTGACATGAAGGAGCAAATTCCCCCGTTGGTGTCCATGCAGGAGGGAGATGCAGGTGGATGGAGTCCCCTGCACCCAGCAGCCTGCCAGGTCACCGGACTCCTCCTGCCCAGCGCCTGCGCACTTGCTACCTAGGCTGGTGAGCACGTCCAACTTCCTCTTCATGTTCTGGCATTTCTCCCGGTCCCCCACCTCTGCCCACTCCTCCCTGGAGACGTAGAGGGAAGCGGCTTGCAAAGCTTCTTCGGCCTGGAGAGGAGAGGGAAACCCCAGTAACTCAGTGATGCGAGTGAGGACGTGCGCGGAGGGTCTTCCCTGACCGGCCCTGCCCCGCGGAGTCCCGTCTCTCCCACCAGCGTTCTGCACCCGCACAGCCAGGGTCACCCCGAGGGCCGGGCGTCTGAGGAGCTCTGTGCCCGGACCCGTCCCCACGCTCCCCTCTGGCCCCTCAGCTCACCTGCGGCGTCCGCCCCGCTTCACCCTCGGGGCTGTGCTGCGGGCCCCCCGTCGGGGTTCATGGCGTCATAGCCCCGAGTCCCAGGCGCCTATGGGAGGAGAAGGTGCTGAGAGGACCGAATGTCCTTCTCAGCGTTGGCGGGGCGCCGCGAGAGGAGGACGCGGGGGCCCCTCGGGAGCAGGGGCTGGACGCGGGGCGCGCTGCCTGCAGACCCGCCCGCAGGGGGCGCCCTTGTTCCCGCCCTTCCCTCCACGCGCCACCGCTCAGGATCAACAGGCCCGGGGGGCCTGTGGCGGCGCAGGAAACGCGCTTTTCCCGGGGAAGGGCTCGGAGGTGCACCTGGGGGTCCGGAGAGGCCCGCAAGAGACGCAGGCGCGTCCCCGGCAGACCGCCGTCTCTCAGGCTGGCAGGCTCGGGGTCCCTGAGACCCGATCCTGCGTCTTCCCGTCTGAGGACACTGAGGCCGGGGGGAGGGTCAGACCCTGCGGCTGAGGAGATTTGGGGCGTCTCATGGAGGGGCTTCAGGGTCCCCACCACTGAGTCGGTTTCCAGGACGACAGCATTGGGGTCTCTGAGTTTGGGGAGATTCGGTCTTTCCGGGCGAGCTGCAGGTTGGGGGCCCCGAGCCGAGGGGAACTGGGGTTTTCGGGATGTTTGGGGGTCTAAGCGTTGGGGGGTCAGGAGATGGGGGTCCTCCGGGTTGGCGGACGCGGGCCCCTCGATGCTGACGGGTTTTGGGGACCCTCAGGGTGAGGGCATCTGGGGTCTCTCAGGCTGGACTTTGAAGGTCTCGGGCTAAGGGCTCCACGTGGCAGGGCTCCCCGCTTACCGGTCAGTCTCCGGGGGTCCCTGCTGCGCTGCCCACCTCGGACCAGCGCCCTCTCGGGGCTCCTGGGCTTCCGGCCCCCCCAAAGAGTGCGGGCGCCTGGGGCGATATTCATACCAGGATAGCCGGTGGAAGCAACCCGCCAATCAGTGCTGCGATCCCTGGGCCCTGCTCACCAATGAGCGGTCAGAAGCTGAAAGGGCGGGGCAGGAGGCGGGGCCCCGTGGGTTTGGGCGGAAAACCCGCCTCACCACGCGGGGATTGGCTGCTCTGGAGCGTCTGTCTCACAGCCTACAGGGAGGCGTGGCATTTTCCGTGGCTAGTTTTCCAGAGGCTGGTGAGGGACCTCCTCCGCCGGGGTTGGGAGCTCCGAGCCCAGGCCTGTCTTTAGGGTGAACGTGGTCCTCCTGCCGCCTGACAAAGTGTCTTTGTGCCACCAGACTGTGGTCGGGATCCCCGACTTTCCTCTAGGCCCGTCCTTGCCCTTCCTTGTCAAATCCACTTTTGCAAGATATGCATGACCAGTGAGTACACGGTGAAGACTGCATTGCATTCGGTGGAAACTTAAGTCAGTAAATTCTGACCACGCTATTCACAGACCCAAAATAAGTCCCAGAAGGCTCAAAGATTTAAACGCAATAAATGACATAATAAGTACACTGGAAAACACACTGGGAGAATTTCACATCTCAAAGAAGTGGCGTTATGAGGAATATGTATGTTTAAGTAACTCAGGTGCAAAAACATTTCAGAAATAGGAAGACAAGATATAACCAAATAAAACTAAGTTTTTAAAATGCTGAGAAAACCTACAAGTATTTCGCATAAAAATAAGATATCAAGTTTGAGGACAGGGTCCACAGAGCAGGGTAAGTGTAGCTGCTACTGGCTTTCACAGGATAAAGTGGGAAGAGTGTCTCTGGTCCCTACCTCGTTTTGAGCACATAAATATAACTTCATTTCCATGGACTGGAACTCCTCCAACTAACTGCAATTATTACTGTGAAACTGCATAAAGGGAAACCTCATTAAAGTGGAGTTGGGGGTCACTGGGGGTGCTCCACATAGCACCACCCAGGGTCAGTTACAGGAAAAATTGTCTGTCACAGGCCCCAACATGAAAATGGTACTGTGTGCTCCCAGCAGAAACTGACTCCCCAGCAACTCAGCCAGAGAGAAACCATTGTCACCCTGGACTGAGGATTTTCTGCACTGCACTTTTCTTTGAAATGACCCCTTCCAACTTCTTTTTTCCCTGTAAAATAACGTTCCTGTCTTTTACTTGTGGAGCTTGCCTATGACTTTTGCTACAGCTTGCTTGTCCTAAATTGCATTTTTAACTGTTTCTGAATAAACCCTTTATTTGTTGTTAAAATAACTGATTGCTATATTTTTAAGGTCAACATAGTTTGGTGGCCCATTTAAAGATCCAGAGGACTCCTGAAATGTCTGAGGCTGATGAGCAAGCAGGTACAGTGTCCTTGCCCTGAAGGACTCTGGGAAGGGTCCTTTGGTGCAGACTCCCTGGTGATCATTTTGAGAATAGCCATCCAGAAATAACATCCTTATACCCTATGACCCAGAAATTTCACTTTTCAAAAATTTCCCCTAGTAGCCCTGGCCTGGTGGCTCAGTTGGTTAGAGTGTCCTGCCTACATGCCAAGGTGGTCAGTTCATTCTCCAGTCAGGGCACATTCAAGAAGCATGTGAATGAATGCGTAAGTGGAGCAACTCTCTCTCTTTCAAATTAATAAATAAAATTAAAAGAAAACCATAAAAATTCCCCCCATTATGCTTCTCTGTGTATGAAATGAAGTATGTTTAAAATATTGTATCCAACAGTTATATAATTACAGATATAATTTTGAAAAGTTTTCAGTAGAAGAGAATTTGTTAAATTATAATTTGCTCACATTATAAAATATTATAGAACATTAAAAGTGGGTGAGAAAAAAAGCGGGCAGACCCAGTGAGGGCACAAGGCGGCTGGCTGATAGCGGTCACACATTCATATGCAGATAAACCAGGTGAAAAAATGGACAGTGAGACAGACCGAGCAAAGCAGAGCCCCAGTGCCAAGAAATAAAGCCTAAAAGCACCTATTAAAAAACTTTCGGGTGTTGAGGTGCCGGGAGATGCTCCCAGACTCACAGGAGAGTTCATTGGAGAGACCGACAGGGTCCTAGAATGCACATGAGCCCACACACTCAGGAACCAGCACCAGAAGGGCCCAATTTGCTTGTGGGAGGTGGCAGAGGGGACCAAACTCCGAGAGAGAGAATGGAACAAATGCCATTGCTCCCTCTCTGACCCTGCCCCCAGTCACAACCTAGTGACCGGGTTGACCTGCCCCAGTGAACACCTAAGCTTTTGCCCCTCCTATGTAATAGGCTCGAACAGACCAAAACATTATGGCTCAAGCAGAAGAACAACTCAAACTCCAGAGCTAATACTTCTAAGTGACCAAGAGACAGCCAACCTATCAGATGCACAGTTCAAAACACTGGTGATCAGGATGCTCACAAAACTGATTGATTTTAGTTGCAAATTAGATGAAAAAATGGCTACACTAAGTGAAATGAAGCAAAATGCACAGGGAATCAATAGGGATAGAAAGGAAACTGGGACTCAAATCAATGGAGTGGACCAGAAAAAAGAAAGAAACAACCAAACAGAAAAGCATGATGAAACAAGAATTCAAAAAAAAATGAGGAGAGGCCTAGGAACCTCCAGGACATCTTTAAACGTTCCAACATCCAAATTATAGGGGTACCAGAAAGGAAGGGAACAGGAACAGCAACAAGTGGAAAACTTACTTGAAGAAATAATGAAGGAGATCTTCCCCAATCCAGCAAAGGAAACAGACTTCCAGGAAGTCCAGGAAGCCTAGACAGTCCCAAAGAAGTTGGACCCAAGGAGGAACACACCAAGGCACATCATAATTACATTAGCTAAGATTAAAATGAAGAAGAGAATTCTAGAAGCAGCAAGAGATAAGGGGACAGTCACCTACAAAGGAGTTCTCATCAGACTGTCAGCCGATTTCTCAAAAGAGACCTTACAGGCAAGAAGGGGCTGGAAAAAAGTATTCCAGGTCATGAAATCCAAAGACCTACAACCAAGATTGCTCTATCCAGCAAAACTTTCATTTAGAATGGAAGGACAGATAAGGTGCTTCTCAGATAAGATCAAATTCAAGGAGTTCATCATCACCAAGCCCTTATTATATGAAATGTTAAAGGGACTTACTAAGAAAAAGATTAAAAATATCAACAGTGAAAGGACAGCAAACTCACAGTTACTAACAACCACACCGAAAACAAAAGCAGACTAAAGGACAGCTAGACCAAGAGCAGAACCACAGAAATAGAGATCACACGGAGGGTTAGCAACAGGAGAGTGGGAGAAGGAGAAGGGGGGAGAAGGTACAGAGAATAAGTAGCATAGATGGTAGGTAGAAAATAGACAGGGGGAGGGCAAGAATAGTATGGGAAATATAGAATCTAAAGAACTTAAGACACATGAACATGAGCTAAAGGGGGGGAATGGTGGGGGAGGGGGTGTGCAGGGTAGAGGGGGAATGAAGGGGGGGAAATGGGACAACTGTAATGGCATAATCAATAAAATATATTTTAAAAAATCAATAAATATATCCTCAAGTGAGGATTAAAAAAAGAAAAAGGAAGAAAAAAAAAACCCAGACAGAAGACATGTGCTGAAAGGACACACAGGGACTATTCACAGGGTTGGGGTCTGGGCAACGTGCAGGGGAAAACTTGGTTTTCCTTTATGTCGTTTGGAACATTGTGTCACTTGTTTTCTCCTTTACTTAACACAAACCTATCTGTATATTTTTGTCGAACACGAAGGCTCCGGACGCCTGAGCCAGGGAGCTGTGCACACTGGCGGCCTCCAGGCAGCAGGGGCGTTACACGCGCACTTTTCTCTCCAGACCTTTCTTTGGCTGTTCAGTGCCAGTAGGGAGAGTCAGCGTTTATGTCAGAAATATCCCTGGTGAGACAAACATCCCTGTCCGAGCAGACGCCTCCCGGAACTCAGGGGCTTCAGAGCCCAGGCAACAGGAACCGCTCTTCTCCCTGGTTGGACAGTTTTCCAGACACACAGGGGACAGAGCCAGTGTGACAGGCTCCCTACTCTGTCAGGTGGGAGCCCTTCCCACATCCACAGGACTCAGCTGTCAGGCAGGATGCTTGTCTTTCCCAGGTCGTGTCCCTCTTCACTGTGACAAGATCCCACTCCTGGTAGGGAGAAGTCCCTTCCAACACTCTCAGGACCCAGAGTTCAGATGGTAGGGCCCCCTAGTTTCCCAGTGAGGGGCCCATCCCACATTCACGAGACCCCGAGGTGATGAGACAGCACCCCAGACTATCCCATGTTGAACCCCCACACACTCTCTGGGACCCTGGCTGATGTCAGAAGACCAGGTGTCCTCTTGGGTGGGGCCTCTCCTCCTGTTCAACACTCAGTGCCGATGCGAAACCACAGCTTCCTCCCCCTGGGGGGGCTTCTTCCTGCAATTCCTGGACCCAGGACTGAAGTGACAAGACCCACAGCTCTCTCCAAGAAGCCCCTGTTGCCGCGCCCACAGGACACAGGTGATGGGACTGGACCCTTCACACTCACAGGCAGGGACGTTCCTTGCAGTCATGGACCCACGGCCTCTGTGCACCTTGCGATCACAGGGTTGGTGTGGCAGAGCCCTGTGCTCTTGGAGGGAGGGCTGTGTTCAGGCTCCCAGGACCCACAGCTGAAGTGACAGGACCCCCTGCTCTCTCAAGTCAGACCCCTCCCCACAGTCATTATACTCAAAGGTGGAGGGTCAGGACACTTACATTTCACAGACAGGGACCTTTCTCAACCCTCACAGGACACAGGTGTGCAGTAACAGGACACTCCTGTCTCTCGTGTGGTCCTCTCCACACTCAAGTGCCCCAGGCCTGAGGTCACAGGACTCTTGGACCCCCAGGTCTCAGGTGGGGCCCCTCCCCTTGCTTATAAGACGCAGAGGTGACCTGACATGAGCTCTTATGCTCTTTGGTGAGGACCCAGAGCTCATGTTATGTGGCTCCATCCTCTCTTAGGTGAAAATACTTTTCCCAGCA